CAATATGTTTGAAAATATTTGGTTAAAAATAATACTACTGCTGTCAAATCCAATATATCATTATGCTATTACAACATGCTTCTAAACATATGTCAACTATGTATTCAAATCATGTTGTGTTATTCTTTCCTACTTTTTAAACTTTTACTACATTATTACTAGTGCTACAATACCAAAGGATAGGTGGTGGCTTTATACGAATACAGTCATGGAGAAAGTATAATAATAATATATATTATCTTGTAAAATACATAGGATACTTGTACTATGTGTCTGTGTGTTTCTAGGACTCACATTCATGGAGGAGTTGATCTCTGCAACAGCTTCATCCTCCGTAGGGAACTGATAAATCTGCACTCCATTACTGACCAGCTCACTCATTATCTTGATCTTTAACTTGTCCAGTTCACTCTTGGATACCGTGTCTGCCTTTGCAATAACAGGGATGATGTTCACCTGCGTGTAGAAACATTATATAAGTGACAGACTGAGGAAGAAGAACTGCTGAAATACACGGTGCCAGATTATGTGGTCACCTTGCTGTCCAGTTTCTTCATTGTGACAAGATCAAGGGACTTCAGGGAGTGTCCAGTGGGAGCGATGAAATACAGGCAGATGTGGATTCTCGTGTCATGGCAATTAAACAGGGAGCGTTTTATTTTTAGCTCCTCTTCGAGGTACTTTTCAAACTGGGTGTCGATATACTCAAGAATGGGTTTATAGCTGCATGGAAAAACAGCACAGACATAAAAGATGATTATCATTTCATCCTTAAATGAACATTAAACTTTACATTGCTTTTTCCTTGTTTGAAAAACATTCTAGTATCCTAGTTACAAACTCTGCGACTACAGTCTTAGGTCCAAAAAATGCCGTCTTTTTTAACTCCCCGCTGTTGGAGCACTCAAATGTCTATTGAGACTGCATTAGTTCTACCAGTCATTCCCATATTCCCTTTCTTCCCTTCTAATTCAAATGCCAGAAGCAGGGCCAGATCTCTTTCTCAATTCCATACAGTGTAAGTCTGTTGGCTGAAGTACCAGAGCAAGAAGGGGAAATGATTACTAGCTGGTGCTTTTTCTATTGCTAGCTGTGTGAATTTTTAAAGATCGATATCGAAACAGCCTTGAAGATTTCTGTGACATTTTAACAAGATTCTATATTTTCCTTCCTTTGCGCACAACCATTTTTTATGCATATTTTTTCAATCAGGAGAACACTCGGTCCAACTAAAAGTCAAACAAACACTATGCAAGAATCTGTAGATCTGTACCTCTGTTCTTTGTTGATCTGGTCTCCAAACCCCACAGTGTGCACGATGGTCAGCTTGAGGTTGACATTGCTCTCCTGCAGATCGTACGTTTGTGGGCGTAGCTGCACCTCACTCTGATAGTGGCTGGCTTCCTCGTTTTCAAATGTTGTATTGAAGAGGGTGTTCATTAATGTTGACTTGCCTATCCCAGTCTCCCCTTTAAAAAAAAAAAGAGAAAGCGAGATGAGATAAGAGAGACGAGGGGAAGACTAATTCCACATCAATGCTCCACATACCACATTAATGCATGTTGATAGCACTGACTTTGGATCAAGAGCTCCTCCTGGGTTCAGACATACCTACACAGAGGATGTTAAAGCAGAATCCCTGTGCAACTGATTTGCTGACCAACTGGTCGGGAAGACTGTCAAAGCCCACATGGCCTCCGAGCTCCAGGTTTCGCTTTTCTTCATTCTGACGTATTTGTAAACAGAACAGGACAAAGAATATATTAGAATAAATTACTTGCATTTCAGCAATATTTCATCACATTCACTTCGTATCAGTACATTTTTGTCAACAAACATCAACAAAAAATCCATTGGTGAGGTTAAAAAAAGTCCTCCCGTCAGATCCAATCCCCACATTTCTGCTTTCAAGCCTAAAAGCATTCTTTCCTAATGAGGTCATCTCTCTCTTCCACTTAACACGCTGAATAGGTCTGGCCTAAAAAAAGGTTCTGTCTCTCAAACGAATATCCTCCAGTAAATACATGAAAAAAGCCAAAAGATTAATTTGTGTTGTGCAGCACCGACATCATATTTTACATCGTGTGTCTTGTGACTGTATTAAGAAGCTTTAGTGTAAGGGCTTAGCATAACTATAATGTGTACATGTGTGAGTAACGTTAATGCTGCAGATGGTAAGGTGATTATAACTATGCTTTTATGTAGGACTAGAACTGGCCTGACAAATAACAGACTGAAGGACCAGTGTGTAGGATTTAGTAGCATCTAGAGGTGAGGTTGTAACCAGCTGAAGCCCTTTCAATCAAGCAAATGCGAAGGAGAATCTACGGTGGCCACAAAACTCACAAAAAACATGAAAGGTCTTATCTAGAGCCAGTTTTTAGTTTGTCTGTTCTGGGCTACTGTACAAACATAGTGGTTCAACATGGCGGCCTCCGTAGGGGAGGACCCTCTTCTTATTTTCATCAATGAAAAAATACCTATAAATATTATATGGGACCACAGAACTGGCCTTTTTCTTTGATAAACGACAGTTAATTGTTCAAATCAAAACATTTTCAGCACTACTTTTACTCATGTTTGGAGGCTGGAGGCTAAAAAATAATATTACATTTAATTCCCAACCATAATGTTGTCTATACTTCCCATGTTGACTGTAAAACACACCACGGTATATTTGAGTCTGTATACCGTAATAATAAACTGTATACAGAACGTATGTTTGCCCTGGCTGTATATATGTTGGCACTGGTTCAGTCCTTCTATACCAGATTCACCCTGGGATACTGGCATCTTCTAAAAAGGCTCAACATGAGGACCAGGATGTGTTCAATACAACAATCATCCGTTTCTGTCCCTCTCTCTTTCTCTGTCTCTCTCTCACACACACACACACACACACACACACACACACACACACAAAGAGCTCTTTATTTAGATGTTATTTCACAGGGTGGGAGGATATCCAAGCTGCTGGCTGCCCTGGTACCCACAACTCCCCTTCAAACACAACCTTAACTTAACAAAAGTCTACCAGACACGTACTGCAAAGCTATGACGGCCTTTTTCACTAACACATTGCCACGAATTACACGTTTGGCTGATACATACTTAAATTTGCTGAGCAATCTAGTGGAAGCTATACAGCCACCACTTGAAGAGGATGCTACTTATGTTTATCCTCTTAACTTTAGTCTCTTACTGCCTGCTGTCCTGTGTTTCATTCAAACGCTCGGCCCCTCTCGTCCTGTCACTTCAGCACCTGTGTTTACCACCTGTCAGAGGTGCTGACATGGTAAACAACAACAGTGTTGATGCACAGGCTTCGTGCTGTTTTCATGCTGGATGCGTTTTCACCGCACTTTGCATCATGTCTACTGAATCAAACGTAGCTGAAAATCCGTCTTTAACCTGATTCATTGGAGATAACAAGCTGTCTCCACACCGCAGCCACCTTGCTGCATTCTCGACACATATCTCATCACCATTATTACCTTTGCTCTCACATACACCTGAATGCTACACGGGTTAGCTATGGGGTTTAAATCCCTATTTCTATGCTATGAAGACACACAAATCCTTAGTCACCACAGGCCCGCAGACAGTAGATCATCGTACTTACTGCGAAAACATCTATCTCATTGGCCGCCATCGTCAGTAGTGGCTGCTGTGTGCAGGAATTATCCGCCAGACCTGCTATATCCACATCTAGGACCGACTCACACTCCTCTCAATATGGCCACTTGGAGGCAACACCCCCTCGGTGCTGGAGGGCGACATTACAGCACCTCTACACATCTCAGCCCTTATTCTAACTCTGAAGGAGTTTAGTATAAGCTCCATTTGTTGTTAGTTTGTTTATTTTACTCTGAGGAATTATAGCTGCCTCGACAGACATGCCTCAGGTTTGTGGCTGTTGCCATGGCAAACGACAAGTCTTTTAATATTTCTTCTTTTTTTTTTTTTTAAATCAATTTTGAAACTGTCCTTTTGTCAGGGTTTTTTTACACGTCTGGATCCCGACAACAACAACAACAACAACAACAACAACAAAAAATACTAGTAATATTAGTTATATTCACATTTCAAGTGGGTCCAAGTTCATTCAGCACTTGGACACCAGCTGTCTCCTAGCAACGCAATACCGATGACAGAGGAACTGCGCAGTAAACACTTGTTCAACATTACTGCTATTAAACGCTACTTTATGTCTTCTCTAATACATTTAAGGAGGAAAATGTTGTTTTTACAGCATTTATGTGACTATTAGTAGTTCCTTTTGAATATCAAGATTTTACATACAAAAATAGTCAACATATAAAATGAGAAGCTACCAAAAAGTTATGTAAAGTTTATAAAATTAGCTTCACTCACTAATGCTCTAATGATATAATCATCCACTCATCATCATAGTGTCATTCTTCTGCCTGAGAATAATTAATACTTTTACTTTTGATAGTTTAAGTATATCTCTCTTTTACAAGTAGTTTGAATGCAGCACTGAATGGAGGAACTTTTTATATCTTATTTTAAATCTCAAAGCCCCACTGCAGTATAAACCAGCTACAATAGTTACATATATATACTATATATATATACTAAACATATTGTTGCTGTGTCGTTACGTTTGAATAATGACCACTATATTTAATAAATCATATAAAGCTTTGTCTAAGCCTTGGAAAAGATTTTTTATTTATTTAATGTCCTAGGTCCTGAGGAATAAAGCATTTAGGCTTACTGTTTGTAAAGATTTATAAGAGAATATACATTTATAAGGTGACACAATAGTGATTCAATATCAAAATATATATTAAATATGAAATTAAACAACATTAAATTACATTTAACTGCTGTATTAAAGCAAACTCAATATATAATATACATACAAATATAGTTCCACTCTCTTACTTTATAAGACTTTTTTTTATATGGACATTTTTGAATCTCTACACGTGAATATACAAATTAATTTTTTGTTTAGCAGTTTTGATATTGATCCACTAATCATGAGACAAAGCGTCCAGTCTGCACTGCCCACAAACAGCCTCTAACGGGGAGAGCCATAATAAAAAACTGATGATTTTATCTGGAGAAGCGCCGGAAGCAGCAGGTTGGTGGAGGACAACAGAGAGGGGAGCACGGACAACGAGCAGATGATCCCCCTTTTGGCTTTATTTACGCTTATCTCAGGACAAAAATGGCTTTGACCCAAGAGTCTATTTTATCTTTTCTCCTGGAGCACGGAGGCAAAGTGAAGAACTCGGAGCTGCTGAACCATTTCAGGAGTCAAATCAGCTGCGGTGATCCCGCGGAAAAACAGCACAATAGGGACCTTTTCAAGAAGTACGTGAACAGCGTCGCTGTGGTCAAACAGATCGACGAGGTAAAGTTTGTGGTGGTGAAGAAAAGGTACCAGGACTTTATTAATAAAGAGGCTGCGCACGATGCATCGCAGAAAACACACATGGAGGAGAGTTTTTCAAGTCAAAACACGAGCTTTTCGTACACATCTCCTCCACATCGAGCCGAGTCAGCCCGGGTGATATACTCTGACATTGAGAACAATAATATGTGCTATCCCTCAAACATAAATGACACGCATTGTTGTGGTGATGCCAAGCGTGCGTCTGCGGGGAGTGTGCGGGACAGGAGGCCGTTATCGAGGAGTAGCAGTGCGGACACGACCACTGTCAAAGTCCTGAATATCTCCGGAGATCAGCCGAGCAGAGCGAGGAAATCTGGGGCTGTGTTCGCTGTCATAGCGGTGAAGTCCCCACCGAAAGACTCTGCACCAGTACCGCAGGGTGGGTTACATTCCCAAGTGCATCAGAATAAAACCACAGTCTCGTTGGTGAGCAAAGTTTCGACACCATCAGTGCCAACTCTGAACTTTACAGCCTGCAAGAAGGGTGCACCAAGTGACTCCCAGTGTTGGAAAAACAGACATGCAGAGGACATGCAGCCCCCGAGCTTCCCCCAGGTGAGGCCCCAGATCAAGACCACAAGATCAGGAGAGGATGCAAAGTACTCAGAGTCAGTGCCTCTGGAGCCATTAGCCCATGAGTGGTTGGTAAAGTGTGCTGCTGGACTGTGGGGACAAATCTATGGTCTGCTGCTGCAGGACACACGTTTAGCACAGAAGAAAGACTTCATGTCAGGGTTCACAGCGCTGCACTGGGCTGCCAAGGAAGGCAACAGCGAGATGATACACAAGCTCATGGATGTCTCCAGGAGAAGAGGCACCTGTGTTAACGTCAACACCAAAGCGCACGGAGGGTACACACCTTTACACATCGCAGCCATACACGGCCACACTGAAGTGATTGCGTTGCTGGTGCAGAGTTATGGAGCCAGTGTAAATGAAAGAGACAACGATGGCAAGAAGGCCTTTCACTACCTGGGCAAAGGTGTGCCAGCTGAGGTCAGAGCACTTTTGGGAGGACAGGAGCAGAACAGGGAGAAAACAGAAGATGGGGAATACAGAGAACACCCGAGAGGCTTCAACACCATTAGTAAACTGTTTCAGCCTCACATGGGGAAGAAACAAAAAACTAAGTTTGCGCATGATTGGTGAGAACCTCTTATCACATCACCGATTCTCTTTTAGATCACTTAAAGTCTATAAGTGAATTATATATGTAGTCTTACTTATTGCAGGCTTTAGCTCTTGTATGGTGTATCACTGTTGGATGTACTATTTATGAATGCTATTTATACTTTAATCATGTTTTTTAATACAACTTTGTGTATCAACAATGTGTTTATTTTCCCTACTAACGGCACAATCAGTGATACTCACACATATTTTCATTACCTAATGTGTAATAAATCTTGAGAAGTCACCTCCTGATTTATGATTTCAAAGTATGAGGAAATATGAAAACAGACCACACCTGGGAAACAGTTGCTATCAACAGTGGTGTGAAACAGGTTGTTGTGTTGTTGATGTAGTATAGTTATTGCTTTTGTGCACAGCAGATCATCTATTTATGATACTGTGATCATCAAAATTAAATCAGTTAAAGTTCTTCAAAGACTGCAGAGAAAACATCTGATAGTTTGGTAGAAAAGTATAGTGGTAGGTTTTAACATTTAAAAAAAAGCTGCCTTTCAACTTCAGTAAAAGCAAAGGGGGCCTTTGTGGGGCCAGTTATGCAAAGCAGGCAGCTAGACAGGGAGGTGGAATGTCTCCTTTATAAATCTCTTTGTGAACTTGAGCTGTAATGGATGAGAAAGGCCTGCTTTTGTGGGTCAACATGGGCTTCAGTCCCTGCACTAATGTAGTTAAAAAAAGTAATGTGTAGTAAATGTTAGGCCATGCCCCGATAGCTCATAGTAATCAAGATCTTTAGTATTTAGTTTCAGGCAAGATTGACATTTTTTCTCTCGACTGAAAAAAGCCAAAGATTAAAGTTTCATTTAGATGTTAGAGATTTAAACCTTGATTGGAAAACCAACAACCTATTCAAAACATTTTAATATTCACATCTTTTCCCAGATCAAACAGTAATCTGCCTTTTTTTTGTGCATTATCCTTAACTGACCCAGAGACCAACCATCCCTGATGACATGAAAAGAGAGGGAGCTCAGACAATGAAGCCATAAGCAAAACAGTGCCAGAACAATGTCCTTTGTCTCGTTATCTGGAAAAGAAGCTGCTTGCATAATGATCCCGGCAAAGGACAGCTGCACTCACAGCAACTATTAAACACAGCAGATTGCCTAATGTGTTAAATCCCACCTCAGAAACTATTCTTTAATACTGGGAGACAATCGTAAAAAGGAAATCTACAAGAGAAAAACTTTCCTATCTTTCTTCTTTAATGGTTCATAAAGAATTTGCAAACTTTGATGTATTGTCCAACAATACCGTCTTTTGTTCCAGGTCGTTTCCATTTCCTGTTGGCACAAAATGAAAAAGTACCTTTTTGTTTTTTGTATACTAATAGCTACTTTAGAACAGTATGATATGCAGATAACTTTACATTTTAGTGGCACTGAGACACAACTACAACATAAGTTTAAAACCCTGCTGGAGGCTACAGTTACCCTTCATGATATATAAAGTGTTGGATGGCACAAACAACAAACTATTTTTAGAACCTTGCAGAAACATTTCCTATTGGTGGTATTACATGAAAACCATATGATCAACAAAATGGTTCATCTCCTCAAATCAATCAACAACCAATCAATAATAAATCAGTGACAGTGTTATCCAACTCTACCCTGACAAAAAAAAACTGTATGCTGCTGGCATGATAATGCAGGTACTTTGAACTGGTACTGGTGTGGCGTTATGAAGAACCAGTGTGTAGGATTTAGTGGCATCTAGCAGTGAAGTTGCACATTGCAACTAACTGAACACTGCTCGCGTCTGTATTTGACGACGTGGGAATGAAAATGTGCTGTGAAATGTGTAGGAGAAACTACAGCAGCCGTGAAAGGCCCTATCTACAGCCAGTGTTTGGTTTGTCTGTTCTGAGCTACTACATGGCAGTTCAACAAGGTGACCTGCGGCGCCTCTAGATAAAAACGTCTCATTCTAAGCTAATGAAAACACAGTGATTATAATATTCAGGTCATTATATACTACTGAAAACATATCTATAAATAGTATATTCCATTTCTGCCAATTAAAGCCTCCTAAATGTTCCACACTGGAAGCGAAGCAGCAAAGTCGTTATAGTAAACACAATATAAATACTCAATCTGTGTGGACACTGTGTAATCAGTGGCTACAGCATGAGGGCCAATTACAGCTATTTCTACCACACAACATGAGCATTGCTTTAGATGGCAAGATTTACCCTTTATTTGCTCTTCATATTTGAGGCCAGTAGAGGGCAGGCAATGTTAATATTATCATTACAGTTAAAAAGTCACCGAAGAGGTCTATTTTAGTTTTTTATTGTATTGATACTAGTTTTTAGACCTAAAATGGTCATTCAAACTGCTCCATGTTGATATTAGTTAAAGGAAAATACAAAAGCAAAGTAAAATGTGTAATATGAGCTTCAGAAAAAAGGGTGAATTGTTGAAATCAATGTCATGATGATATTAATAAGATATAATAATATAAAATAATCAAACTAATGTGCACTGCAACAACCACTGTGCATTAACTTCAGACAAACCTGTTAAATAAAAAAATAAATATGTATTTTGTTAGTTTTTAAGAATCATTTTCTTGAAATCCTGTATTTAACAAACAAAATTGTGTAAAATTATAACAGATCACAACAATTAAATTACACTGAAAGTTGCTAAACTATATAAGTGAGTTGTTAATGTGACCTACCACCAACCACATTGAAAACTGCAGTAGTGTGTGCCTCTTCACACACCCTGGTACATACTGTACATACTGCCAAAGATAAGCTCTAAGTTTCAGTGTACACGGATACTGTTTAGTCAAGTATATTTCTAACTTCCAGTACATTTGGCAAGAATAATAAATACATTTCTCTGTATAAGATCATAAGTTGTGAACAGTGTGCAAACTATACCACGGTTTTTGGGAGAGCTACAACACAGAGATATGAATAATGGTTATTTAGCACACAGACTGAGTGGAAAGTGGGAAGTTGTTTTCTAAAATGTGCCTCTCTGAGTTATCAAGTGTTATTCTTTTAAATCTCTGCACCTCTGCAGACCAAACTCCATTTAAAAAATCTGGAATTTTAATTCTAACATCTTTATGGAAAATCACATCTGCTTCCTAAAGTTAAGAGCTAATCAAATGCATGGCAATATGTTATATGGGGGATTTTCAGGGAACTCATGTCTTATTAAGAGGAGCCCAAACTCCCCTTTCACAACCAATTAAGGAATGCCTGGTGGAAAGAACCAAAGAGACCCAGGTGATATTCTCAGGATTTGGTGATCAAACATGAGTGAATATTGGTCTGTTGGATATGTACATCCTGTGTATTGATCTAAATCTCCTCATTTGATCAATTGATACAGCACTATTCATAAAGCCTGTGATATAGTTTGTTTCTAATCTAATTTCCGCTGTCTAGTGGTCCACAATTTTAACGTAGCTACACTTTATTTCTTCATTTTTTAACATGACACATGGTTGAGTAAAGTTATTATTATTTAAGCATATATAAATTACTTTGTTGTCCAGCTAATATTTGCTAACTTTAGCTAGCTACTCCCGATCAATAACATTAACTCACCAACACTGTTCTTGACACCAAATTGCTAATGAGGCTAATTAGCTAACAAAGTAGGTAATATTTATTCTAAAATACAATTTTCCAATTATTATTAATAACAATAATAAAACTGTAAAGTTATATTGAGATATTAGAAGGGTACCGGATGTTGAGAAGATTTGTCTTCAGAATAAAAGCATAAAATATGTCGTCATAAAGGACTTTATTTTTTAAGGCCATGAAATGTGTCATCTTGCATCTAAGCCATTGTACAAGTGATGTAAGCTGGGTGGAGTAAATGTGTTTTTATTTACTTCCCTTATCTACCTCATCTATCTAATCTTATTGCGAATATTCCCCGAAAATCGCTTTTATTATTTACATTAAAGTGCCTAAAATACTTCCCATATGAGAATCAGGGCTGCAGCATTGTTTAATTCAACTCAACCATGCTATCATTTAAAACTACCCTCTTGCTGCTTTTGATAACTCTTTATGAAACCATGACAGAAACTGAAGTAGAGGTAAGTTCTCAGGTAACAGGGCTCTTCAGGCTCACCTGATAGAGTTGATTGCCAACACCTGCTGATCAGCGGTGGCACGTGCGTGTTCCTGTTGACCTCGAGCTCTCAGTGGAGAGTCTCTCTACGTTTTGACTGGTTTCGTTGTTTATAATGGAAAAACTAATGCTGATGTCAGCTGTCCTTCGTTGTTTTCGCACGGCTGTCCTACTGCTGCTGGTCACCTGCAGCTGCCCGCTGGTTACATCTTCTATGACTGCCTCCAATGCGCTGCACAGCCTGGGCGACTTCACGTATCCCTACCACAGCATCTTCTCCCCGCTGCTCAAAGCCCTGTCAGAGCACGGAGGGTCGAGGTGGAACCCAGGCCTCAAGAAAGGGCTGAAACCCGAGCACAGGTACATGAAATATCTGACGGAGGTTTACAAGAAGTCCTCCAGAGTTCAGAGGAGTTTGGACGGGAATAAAATCTACAACACAGTCCGATTGATCAAGCCACAGGATGAGTGTCTTGCACAAAGTAATAAAGGTGAGTAAGTGAACCCGAACACTTTAACTGCCCAGTTGAGTGTACATCGACCACACACAATGTGATACATTAAAATAATGATATACCACAATGACATCCAAAGACACGTAGCACAAAACATAAGGCGTATAATGTTTTGTTCTGTGGTTTATGGTGAGGTAAAGAGTAATAAAATAGGTCAAAAGGTCACTTTTTCAAAGCTGTAGGGGGGGGAGTCTGAATTACTAACTGCTCTGGAGTCCCAGACCTCCAGGGGCCTTAAAAAGCCCTAGATTCACTGTGCTCTGAATGGTTTGGGGAATATAATTAGTTACATATTTGTTAGGTGAATTGCACCATTTAAGAAGAATGTAAACTTTGTTTTTGCCTTCTAGTTTGAAGACCTTTTAATTTACAGTGTGCACATATATAGTGCAAGTAAAGTTGTGTTTTGTCAAATTACCAAAAACACAAAAAACTTGGGCCATGGTTATTTCAGCATAGGGTTTTTTTTCATGGGGCTTTGGGTATAATGAAGCTGCAATCAATGTGTAGACTGCGGTTTTAACTGTTCTTAAACTTGGAGGCTACAGGGTACATACACAATGCACAGAGGATCAATAGGATCAGCTTTAGTGGGGTCCTAATTACACTGGTGCGTCAGAAATTGGTTAGATTAGGTGGTTAAATTAAAAACTGCTTGTGTATTGGTCCTTTTTAATACATTTGACTAAATGTTGCACAATCTCAGGCAAAAAAACTTACCCCAGTGGGGCTGAATAACATGATTTATTTTATGACTTTGATGTCTAATATCTCATTACCATGTGGAAATGTAAATTTGTGTGTTGGTTTAAACATCAGAGGAAATTTTAGCAGGGATTATATCTAAATAACTGATAATCACGACCAAGTTTTACCAAGTCTTTATATTAAATATATTTTAAAAACTGTAGCGATAAAGAAACACTATGTTAAACTGGGTTGCAACATTGAAAAAGTGGGTAATAATAATAATAGTTGTTAGTGGAGGGAAATACAATATTTATTTGATTTAATCAAAACCTGCATTTTCACCTGTGCTGCCTCAGTGACATTATGCATTATACAGGATGGAGAGGTTTATCCCGGCTAATTAAAAGGTAGTGTAATTATGAGTACATGGATATTTTATGACTTTGTGAGGCTGACATGTAGTGGTGACACAGTGCCTTGTGTTTTCTCTTTCAGAGAGCTTTATGCAGGATCTTTCCTACAGCCTTAATCATGTAAGAAGAAAAGAACAGCTTCTGAAGTCGGCCCTGCTGTACAATGTTGACCATGACCGTGCAGCACCTTTCAACTCTGTGTGCTACCTGAGTATCAAGGAGCAGGAGCACTCAAACCAGTGTCATCTGTGTCCCGGGGTTCACCACGCTGTGAACTTCACAGCCAGCACCGACGGGAGGAGCAGGAGGAACTGGGTGGAGGTTGACGTCACCTCGTTTCTCCAGCCTCTCTTAAAGTTTCAGAGGAAGAACATACACCTGCTCATCAACGTCACCTGCCCAGACGAACAAAGAGCCATAGGTGAAGGGAGCGGAGGCCCGCTGAAGTTCACCCTGAGGTCTCCTCCTCTGCTTCTTTACCTCAGTGACACCAGCAAAATCCCCCACCAGAGCTTACTGGTCGATGCCAAAGCGGGTAAAAGGCCAGCCACTGCGGCGAACACATTTCACAAGCAGATGGTTTTCAAACCAGAACAGAAGATTGGACGAAAGAAGAGATGGAAGAGGGAATCTCCAAAGAGCAAGCGAGGTGATAAAAGTCTGAATATCAACCTGCCGGAGCTGCTTCCTAGCTCCGAATTCCAGACAAGTGACTGCGCCTTGTATGATTTCAGGGTGCAATTCAGCCAGCTCAAACTGGATCACTGGATTGTTTTTCCACCAAAGTACAACCCCAGGTACTGCAGAGGCATCTGCCCGAGGACCGTGGGCTTCATCTATGGTTCACCCGTCCACACCATGGTGCAAAACATCATATATGAGAAGCTTGACTCCTCTGTGCCCAGGGCCTCGTGCATCCCCTCCCATTACAGCCCCCTGAGTGTCATGATCTTTGAAGAGGATGGCTCCTATGTCTACAGGGAGTTTGAAGACATGGTTGCCACCCGGTGCACATGTCGCTAAAGCCAGCTACTAACATGCCTTTTCTTTTTCCCTCCTTTTTTTACAGGCTGACTAACAACCTCAACAGTCATCACAGGTGGACTCTTTCCAAATAATCAGATACTCTGACCAGGCTGAGTGATTTCATGAATTTATAAAATCATTGTGTATGAAAGAAGTTTGATCTGGAGCAGGTGTGTCTACTTAATCATGTGTGTTTACTTACACAAAAAGTATTTTATCCTAATGAAAAATGTGGAAAGGTGACATTTATTTCCTTTTTGTTAAGGCGTGACAAGAAAATGGTGTCAATGCCTATTCTTCAACTTACTGTATGCAACATAGTATTGAATCTGACACACTTGAAGAAGAAAACGAGTGTTGTATGATTTTGTATGATTTTTTTAAGTTATTTCTTTTTGTTAACTTATTTTGGGTGGGTAGTCCGTCATTATTATTTAATTTAACACCAGTTGCCAAGTTTTAAGTAGCCCTGTTCTGGACAAAATATGAAAAAGCAGTCACAAACTCTTATCAAACCTTTTACATATTGTTTTATTCATGGGGATTACAGACAGCTGTCTGAACGGGCAGCTGTCTTCATAATGTCCAGAATGAAAGTTGTCAAGGTTTCAGTGTGTCACTGAGTGACTCCATATGTATGAACTGACTGCATACTTATGAATTTGTACAGGTTGAATGTGACTAAATGCATGCCATGTTAATTTATGCAAATTGAATGAGTTCACTGTGTGTCTGTGCTCAGCTTAGGGATATTCAAAAGAATGAAAGTATGTACATATTCTCTGAAAAGTTGGAAAATAAAAAAAAAATAACATGCATAAGTCTGCATACAGCTGGCTAAAAATGACAGAAAACAGTGTTTACTTACTACATATAATCCTATGCAGAGACTTCACTTTGACCCCCCTTTCTGCTTCTCCTGCTTGTCTGCTACATTGTTAGGCCAAATAATATAAACACTGGTCCTAGTTAGACATGGGACAATATGAAAATCATGATAATCTTGGCCAAAATAATAGAGAACCACAGGTACATTTTAAGAAACATATACTTATTGCATCACAGAGAGGCACCTCATCTCCCTGTTCTGTATTTTGGAAACTATCTCCACACATACGGATTAACTAAACATTTTTTTCTGTGGGGGATATAAAAGGTAAGCTGAGCCTTCAGCCATGATGACAGGTTTAGGATTTTGAAATGAGTGTGAAGATGCGGGCTCCCCCTCGTCTCCTTGTTCAAAATAATTAAAATCATTGTAGGACTGTATGCTGGCGAGCTGGGCAGCTTTTTACAAGTCACGGCATGCGAGAATTATTTTTATCGTGATGTGCAATAATAATAATATATCGTCTCATCTGTAGTCATAATATATGAGCCCGGTTACAGCTCAGTGCTCTCTATGGCATTTACCTTTTGTCTGATGACAATACCGCAGTTTAAACCAATTAATACCCACATCAAACAAGTTCCTACTTAATATATAGTAATTAAATTCTTGGTGGAGCAGGAGCCAGAGGGAATGAGGTGTAGCTTTGACCAGACTCCAGTCCACCAGGGGGCGGTACTGCCCCCCGGTGTTAGCAGCCAATCGAGGTTGGGCTAAAGAAAAGGAAGGACACCGGATCTTCATAGGAAACACTGTTGAGCAGCAGCACGGTAAGTCTCAATGTCACGATTTTAACACTGTTGTTTTGCCTCCATTGGCTTCTATCACCTGTTTGTGTGAGATATATTGTAAAAAAAAGGGACTTAATTTGGGCCTCTGTCGATTAAACGACCACGTTAACGATTCACGGTCTGTTTGTACTGTAGCTGTTAGCCTACTGGAGCTAACGAACCAGCTCGTCCTGGTCTCGGTTACTTTTAGTTGTTTTGTTGTTTCGCAATCATATCCAGATTTAGCATCAAGGTTTCTCTGTTTATAAACGTTGTTACACTTTTAGTAACGCCAAAAGTCACAAAGAAAACATCTGTAAAAACAACTTAATCCTACTGTAATTAACTTGCGTCTTTAAAACTATTATCGATTGTAATTAATACACCACATACTAATATTATAACATCCAGACGATCGTGCAACGTGAACTACGCCCAGTAAACCCTAAACATCAATACCTAACATTATAGCCTGTGTTGTTATTGCTTTAATTATTACAGATAAGTGTTTGTATGACAACAGATCGACCAAACCCCATTTGTTTTTTTAATAAAATGATTTAGTAGCTGTAATAGTTCAGCTGGAAATAAAAAATAAATAAAGTGCATAGGGTGAATTAATTACTTCTTTTTAGCCCCTTTCTACCAAGATGCTCAGAGCTGTGTGTGTGTATTATTTATCTATTTTATTTAGACTGTTTGCATTTAGTGCAGATCATGAAATATTTGTACCCTTTTTTTATTTCTATATCTGTTTTGTTGTTTCAGATCAGCTCTCTGGTTGAACATGGGTCGCCACTTCGGGGACTTGGCCAAGGTCAGGCATGTAATCACGTACAGCCTGTCCCCCTTTGAGCAGAAGGCTTTCCCCAACTACTTCTCCAAGGGAATCCCCAATGTGTGGAGACGGTTCACAACCTCTTTCTTCAAAGTTGCCCCCCGTGAGTTTTCACACTCTACATAGTATATCAGTATTCTACATTCAGAGCTGGTGAAGTATTTTATATTTATTGATTAATCTCAGTAATCATCAATAATCAGTAGTTATAATTTTATCTCAACTCGCATTTTTGCTACTCAGATATATTTATAGAGTAGCAGAGATTACTTTTGTTTTCAGGTAGGAAGGGATGATATGGATAACATCCTATATCACACTGATACAGAAATGAAACAAGAGAATATTATACAATAGTATATTATTCCTATAAAGCAATCCTGTTGATTTGCACCGTTGCAGTGGCCTGTCGGATCATCTGCCAGTATTTACACATTCAAGTCTGAATCCTACCAGATACTCGACTATTCTGCGCAAAATTCAAGTGGTTTTGTGCGTCTGAGACTCGTTTATTTGCTCTTCTTTCATCTGACACAATGTCAGTAGCCTGTTCACATCCTGCGTGCAACGTGTGCTATCTCGGACGTGTGATGGACCTGTTTGTTACCTGCAACAATACTTAAAGCATCAGATTAGATTTACAACAAGTGCAGTAAAGAAAGGTGCTGCCAGCAGTTGTGGGAATACACTTGTAATGTAAAATGATCAAAAGCCTATTTTACAAGTTAGTTTCAAATCGAGATTTTTTTAATGTTTTAATTATAATGTATATAATAACAAAAGGTGATTAGTCTTTGTCAAACATTGTGTGCTATGTATTCATGTTAAATTATGGAGGAAAAAAAAGTTAAATTAAATTTTTTATTTTCTGACCCTCTTGCAAGACAAATGTGACCATGTTTTTTTTCTTATGCAAAACTTAAACATTTTACTTCAGTGTTGAGACATATTATCTCTGGTCTACAGTCTGTTCAATATGTAGAAGAAAGGATTTTAATTAAATTTGGGAACATGCTGTTTTTAATATTTCTTGTATCTCTGTAGGAATCAGATTGTGCTGAAAGTTGTGGCTAAATACAATAAAATACTGTATAGGTCTTTGTCTTTGTTGCTAATTTCTTTTTTATGATCTTGCTTTTGTAGCAATGACCATCATGTACCTGACATACACCTGGGGCAACAGTGTCCATGAACAGGGCAAGAAGAAGAACCTGGCTGACTTTGAGAGTGAGGAATAAACTCCTGCCACCTTTCTTAAAGCTGCCCTCTGTTATTAATTCCAACTCTGTATGTTTCACCAATAAACAATATTTATGTGAAATCAGTCTCGATTGGTTTCATTCAGCCCTCTCTTCGTATTGTGGTTGGATTAATGCTCATTAATGTTTAACATGGTTGTCCAATTCAATGCCAGACTTTTACAAGTTATACTAATTTAATTGTGTATAGTTTTGATTAATGCTCAAGTCATTTATCAAGAAGAAGAAAAAGGCCTATGTGTAGTTCCGACATCTCCCGTGTGATAATTTGCAGCTTCTCTCTGTTTAATGTCTTTTTACAAATTGAATATTGTTGGGTTTTGGACTGTAGGTTGAACAAAACAAGAAGATTAAGATGCCACCTTGGGATCTGGGAAAAGTATGATCTGTGATTTTTTTCTGACATGTTAGACTAAAGAGAATGAACAGATGAATCAATGATGCATATATTAACATAACAAGGTGATATTTGTCAACGATAACCTGATTAAATGCTTAATTAGTGGGTCACAAACAAAAAAACAACAAACAAACAAAATTAAAAAGGCAGGTGAGTAGAAGTAGAAGCAGCTCCACATCACTAATAACTAACACGATACATTAAATACAGACGGCATTTAAAAGCTCTGAACCCTGCTGCTGCGATGCCCTTTCCCCGCCGCTGAGTGGCGCACCACTGCGGGCCGCAGCGCCCCGCAGTCGGCCGCTATTGGTCGGTTGGACCGATAGAAGATTCCTGAACGCTCTCACGCACCAGCCGGCGCAACAGTACCGCATGCTGCTACCCAGCTTCATGGAAGAAGAACAAGGGTGTATCACCGTTCACTGACTGACACACATACCGTAGCTGCTGCTGTCACGTTGTTGTTTTCTTTTTAAAAGCACTGGGCTGTTGTTTTCTGGTTTCTCCCGTGTATTTTACTTGAGTTCGGTTCAGCGAAGAGAAGATGTCAGTCGTCGGGTTTGACGTCGGGTACATGAACTGCTATGTCGCGGTAGCCAGAGCCGGAGGGATCGAGACTGTCGCTAATGAGTACAGCGATCGATGTACACCGTAAGTACGATTGGAGGGCACGTTGTTGTGCGTGTGTGATTAGTGTTGTAGTATTTAATATAATACGAGGGGGTGAATGAGTCCACTTTTTGTTTCCCCTGTCATAATACTGGAGTGGAAGGAGCTAACGCCGCTACCCGGCTAAGTTAGCATGCTAACACATTTCACAACAGGAAACAGGCATGTGATTGCTAAAGGCTAACGCTAGCTACCTATTGTGAGTATAAAGAAATCCCCGTACCGCTTCACATGATGAAATCCTCCTTGTGGTGTCTCACTACAACAATACCGTCGAGGTTATCTCAACAGTCTGATAATTGACCGAGCGAGTCAGGTGATGGATCTTTTTTTTTTTTTTTTTTTTTGTACTGCAGGCGTGAATGAGCGCATGATAGGAGGAGGCCGGAGTCTGGCTGTCAAAACGACAGTACGATGATCAACTCATTGTACTTCATTTACAGATCGATAGTCCCGTTAAATAAAGCGATACAGGAGTATAGAACACGTATGAGCAAACGATTAAAACATATTATTACGTAAAAACAAACACAAACAGCATTAATTTGTGTTTTATTACCGGATGCATCAACAATACGCGAAGCTGCATCATTGTGAACTGAATTGTGTTTTCTGTTTTTAGAGCATGTGTTTCTTTTGGACCCCGAAATCGATCGATCGGTGCTGCTGCTAAAAGCCAGGTATGTTTTGGGATACATCACAAAACCTGACCAGTGTTTCCCCACAGTGCATTGGTCATGAGCATGATCGATACTAGGCAATGGGTGCAGCACACATCAAATTCACCATCAATATTGGAACAAGCTTTCAAAGTCAGGAATGCACAATGTATTTTTTTTGCATGTATTTAATTTCTAGTGTTTTAATCTTTATTCCCTCAGGTCGTCACAAACTGTAAGAACACAGTCCAAGGTTTCAAGAGGTTTCATGGCAGGGCATTTACAGATCCCTATGTGCAGCGCGTCAAAAACAGCTTGGTCTACGACATTGCACAGATGCCTACAGGAACAACTGGCATCAAGGTAAGAGAAAGGATGAGGAACATTCACAGCTAAATTGATTTGTTAGTTATGAGTGTTTAGGAATCTGTAGATTTTACTACTTGCAGCTCAGACACAGTAGATATACTTAATAATTATCCTTGTTGAAGTCAGCTCAGGTAATTAGATTAGACCAGATAGATCAAGACAAACATTCAGACTCTCGGTCAGAGCAAGGGGCAAAGCCTTTACTCAGGTTGGGCATATTTATTGTTTTACAGCAATAACTGGTTTTGACTTTGCAGTGACTCATCAGGGCAGAGATAATAAAAATAGAATACCTGATAATCTATGAAGACGAGCAAAGAAAACACACTTTCACAATAATATAAAAATGTTAAAGGACCATTTTGTAGGATTTAGTGGCATCTAGTGGCGAAGTTGCAACCAACTGAATACCACTGCCCTCACTCCTCCCTTTCCACTGTTCCATCTTTTCTTTTCTATTTTTTTATCCAACAAAGCTTTAATGCTTACAAGCACTGAAAGCTTGTAGATGAACAACACTTTATTGCACCTGTGACGCAGCACGCAGGGTGCTTATAGAAGTTGTGAAATGTATGTGTCATCACAGCTGAACTGAGATAAAGAAGTTCAAAATGAAACCTTGATGATACAGTGGGATTAAGGGACACTGTAAAGACTGACTGATAAGTTACAGGCAACGTTAAATGAAGCAAATGTATCAAACTGTATGAAAATTTAATGGTCAAATAATACTTTTACATTGAGCCAGGGACTAAAGGAGATGGTTATGTTTCGTCTGCCCATTATCATGCAGTCACTTGCTGTAGAGAAGTCAAAATTATCTAGAACAATGTAATAATCTTCACTTTGAACAATTCCTAAAGGTGATGTACATGGAGGAAGAGAAGGTGTTCAGCATTGAACAGGTCACCGCCATGCTGCTGACCAAGATGAAGGAGACAGCGGAGAATGCACTTAAGAAGCCTGTGGCTGACTGTGTTGTGTCTGTAAGTACAGTTTTGGATGCTTTTCTTGTAGAGGTGTGTGTGTATATGTGTGTAGTCCTTTTGCGAGCATATCAAAGCGTAAATGCTCCACCCATACAAGTGTTTTCCCTTCTGTTGCCTGGTTACACCCGTTATCAGTATCATTAGTTCAGAGTTTGCAGACATCATGTAATTCCCAGCATAGCCCCACCCAACTTCAGCCAGACTAAAGGTCTAATTGGACAGGTTAATTGAAAACAGCTGTGTGAGTGTGCAGAATCTTTACATTAATAAAATAATCTTTATTATAATCTTTTAAATGCTTTTCCGTAATCAGGTTCCCTGCTACTACACTGATGCTGAGAGGAGATCAGTGGTAGATGCTGCTCAGATCGCTGGCCTCAACTGCCTGAGGCTCATGAACGAGACGACTGCAGGTCTGTACTAGGTTTAATTGGGGCAGGGCTTGGGCAAGGATGTGCATGTTTGTGATTGTTGTACTGACTGCAGTTGCCACTCAGACTGAGTCATACAAATGCACACTTTGACATTGATTCCAGTAGTTGTTTACCTCATTAATAATTTAATAATATTTCTTACAGTTGCATTGGCATATGGGATCTATAAACAGGATCTCCCTGCTCCTGAGGAGAAGGCCAGGAATGTGGTGTTTGTGGATCTGGGCCATTCTGGATACCAGACATCAGTGTGTGCCTTTAATAAGGGCAAACTGAAGGTGTGTAGACCAATCAAAATACTCCCCATTTAATCTTTTTTAAATCAATCTCTGTGAGGCTTTGCTTCATTCCTACAACTCTCTTATGGCCTGTTCTCCATGTCTCTCAGATCCTTGCTACAGCTTGTGACCCTGAGTTGGGAGGAAAGGACTTTGACGAGGTACTGGTGAAGTATTTCTGTGAGGAATTTGGCAAGAAGTACAAGCTGGATGTCAAGACAAAGCCCAGGGCTCTGGTCAGGCTCTACCAAGAGTGTGAAAAACTGAAAAAACTGATGAGTGCCAACTCCTCTGTCCTGCCGCTTAACATCGAGTGCTTCATGAACGACATTGATGTCACTGGAAAAATGAACAGGTAGACCAACAAGGAAATCAGTTGTTGCTTTTAGTATCCATTGTTCATGTCTACTGTGTGTTTATTTTAAATGTAATTTTTAAAGCTTAAGTCATGTTTGCCTTTCCTCTCGCACAAGGGGTCAGTTTGAAGAGATGTGCGGTGATATTTGGGCCCGAGTTGAGCCTCCACTGCAGAGTCTCCTGGAACAAACCAGTGAGTACAGAGTTTACTTATCTTACCTATCTTTATAGTTAAATCAGTTAAAGAACCTAATGTATGAAAGTTTATTAGTTAACGCAATAATAAAACAGTTTTTTGTTTCACAAGAACTGAAAAAGGAAGATATCTATGCAGTAGAGATAGTGGGTGGCGCTTCCAGGATCCCAGCCGTCAAAGAGAGAATCAGCAAATTCTTTGGGAAGGAGTTGAGCACCACGCTGAATGCTGACGAAGCTGTGGCCAGAGGATGTGCTCTGCAGGTACAGCACACTTTAAACTGTTAAAGCCAGTCTCCGCCCATCCTGTTGCTCACCAGAAAATTGTCACTTCAGCACTTGAATCCACATCTGTTTGTTTGTGTTGTCTTGAGATTTAAAATGTTTATTGTGACTGCAGCTCTCATTGAAACGCTGGTTGTGTCTCTACAGTGTGCGATACTGTCACCTGCTTTCAAAGTGCGTGAATTCTCCATCACAGATGTTACTCCCTACCCCATCTCCTTGAAGTGGCATTCTGCTGCAGAGGAAGGTTTGAGGTGAAGAGGTTTTTCGATCATGTTTTTTCTACTGTCTGTGGTTTTAATTATGAATGTTACAACAGTGTCACAAATATTTTTACACTTTAAAACATTGGTTTTGCGCCCTTGCTTCAGCAAAGCATATTTGGCTTACATTATAAATATCTGCTATTGATTAACTAGTGGACAGTCTCCCTTCGCTCTGCCCCTCCAGTACAGTCTACTGACAGTCACACTGCTCTGCAGAGAGAGGGGGGGGGGGGGGAGAGACACTCTCTAGCGCAGATACTGTATTTATTTTACCAGTGGGGACCCAGTAAAGTAAGAGTGAACAGGAGTAAACGCATCAGCTGTTGCCGATGTCATTCGTTACCACCTAGTTTTCAATTGTTATGATAGGCTACCTCATTAACAAAACTGTTATTAAAACTGAATCGTGGGTTTTGTTTTTGGGGCGACTTTATAAAACTTACTGCTGAAGAAAGTCATAATTATTGTGAATTCTTCATTTGTTGCAGTGATTGTGAGGTATTTCCCAGGAACCATGCAGCACCTTTCTCCAAAGTGCTGACCTTCTACCGGAAGGAGCCCTTTTCTTTGGAGGCCTACTACAGTTTCCCTAATGAGCTGCCCTACCCTGACCCCACTATTGGTAAGCAACTGAAGCTTCCTAATTGATTTCTGACCACTCAGGAAAAGACAGACTCCAAAACAATCTCACGTAAGTGAGAAGTAGCTAATCTGTTAGTCGACACATCTAGCAGACACACAGTAAGATTAACATCCTGTTAGTCCTCTGTCTACCTGACAAATGAAACTTCTTGTACTGGTTTGGTCTGCAAACTCCTGAGAAAATATCAAGGTTGATAAATATGATCAAATTGATGAGCAAACTCAAATTACTGACCTCATCTGCCAAGACTGATGGCATAAGAAGAGGTCTTAAAGTTATGGCGACTTAATTTTTTTACATTACTTTCTTCCTTACAGGTCAGTTCCTGATCCAGAAGGTTGTCCCACAGGCATCTGGTGAGAGCTCCAAGGTGAAAGTCAAGGTACGGGTGAACATCCATGGTATCTTCAGTGTGTCCAGCGCCTCCCTGGTTGAAGTGCAGAAGTCTGACGAGACAGAGGAACCCATGGAAACAGAACAGGCCAATGAGAAAGAGGGAGAGGTACTTCAGCCAAACAAGTGTACAGTGAGCATCATATGAGTATGTCTACTACTATTTGTACTTCTGTTTTGAGTAAAATAAATACAAAAATGTCTGGTTTCTATTAATCCTTTTGCAGAGCAAGATGCAGACTGATCAGGATGAGCAGCAGGGTCAGGGAGACGGTCAGAAAGAAACAGAAGAGAAGACGCCACGTGAGAATGAAGAGATGGAGGTAAGATAATAGAGATCATTTTTGTGTAAAACAGACCACTTTATTAGATTGTTTCTACACTGAGATACAAGTCAGTGAAATATCCCACAGTAAATCACATCTTTAAGAAGCTAATGTTGGTAATGATGCATTTGTAATACAATATGGTACAGTAGAATACTTGAGGCCACTAATTATGGCCAGCATCTCTCTCACTAAGTGTCATTGCATGTCTCAAATTATTTTAAATGCTTTTGTAGCTTAATGGCTATTCTCTTACCTCATTTAGACGTCCACAGAGGAGGGCAAAGGTGAGAAGAAGTCCGACCAGCCCCCACAAGCCAAAAAACCCAAAGTCAAAACAAAAGTGCTGGAGCTTCCGATTGAAAACAGTCCACAGTGGCAGCTAGCAGATGACATGCTCAATCTTTTTGTAGAAAATGAGGTAAGTAAACTTTCATCCCTCACAAACACACATTACTAAATCCACCCGTCTGACTGTCATCTTTAATTACGTGATCTATTTTCAAGTGTGTAGCGGTTACAGTTGCTGTTTGGATTCTCCTCAGGGTAAGATGATCATGCAGGACAAGCTGGAGAAGGAGAGGAATGACGCTAAGAATAATGTGGAAGAGTATGTGTACGACATGAGGGACAAACTACATGGGATGCTGGAGAAGTTCGTCGGTGAATCTGTGAGTAAACCTAAGAAATAATTGTGATCAAAGCTATGACCTTTTATATAATAACTGCACAATTATTGGCTTTTTCCTTTTTTTTAAAAATAAAATTACTTTTATACTTTCAGGACCGAGATGCTTTGTCATTGAAACTGGAGGACACTGAAAACTGGCTGTATGAAGATGGAGAGGACCAATCCAAACAGGTGTACATTGACAAACTGGCAGAGTTGAAGGTAATTTTTGATGTAGCAATAGCTTTTTTTTTTTCCCTTTCTATTTATTGGTTGACATTTTGATTTCTTTGAGCGACATGTATACTGTGTTTGCTACAGAAACTTGGCCAGCCCATCCAGGAGAGGTATATGGAGGCTGAAGAGAGACCTAAAGCATTTGATGAGTTGGGAAAACAAATCCAGCAGTACATGAAATTCGTTGAAGCGTACAAAATGAAGGTAAAACTAAAGGCTTAACCTAATTTAGACGATGCTTGTTAACATTTTAAAAACTGATCATTACAAACAGAAGTAGTAATGCCTGCAGTGATCAGTAACACCACTTTTTGTCATGTCCTTTTTGATTTCTAGGAGGAGCAGTATGACCATTTAGACGAGGCAGATGTCACCAAAGTGGACAAACTGACCGGCGAGGCAATGATGTGGATGAACAGCGCCATGAACCAGCAAAGCAAACAGAGCTTGTCGGTGGATCCCTCCGTCAAAGTAAAAGACATTCAAGCAAAAACAAGGGTGAGTGTTTTTACTCATAACAACCCAAGCACTGAGAAGAGTGACTAAAATGCAGGGAATGTAAAATTGAGAATCCAGTAAACCATCAAATACAAACATACATTTAATTGGTGAGGAATAAGCCACAGGTACCCAGTAAGTGATTAATTAAACCCAAAAATTCACATTGCAGGATTTCTGGGTATTGAAATAGTCAAAATTCATATGTGGGTATTTGGGATTGCCATCATGAAGTGGCTTTATTGTTCTACAGTAGTTTCAAATATGGTTCAGATGGATAGCTTTACTCACGTAGCATTCATTCAGCACCTAAATAAATCTACCGCTTTATCACATATGTCAGTGTTGGAGCACTGAGGTCAACTAACTTCCAGGAACATAAGTAACTTTGGTGCCTCTTGTTTGTTTGGCCAGTGCCAGTCGCTATATCTCCCACATAGCTGTATTTCTTTTAATAAAACCATTATTGCATGTTGTCTTTGCTGTGTAAATTTTCCAGGAGCTGTTCTCCACTTGCAACCCCATTGTGACCAAGCCCAAGCCAAAGGTGGAGCTTCCCAAGGAGGACACGCCTGCGGAGCAGAACGGGCCTGTCAATGGACAGGAGAAACCCCAGGAAGAAACTGCAGACAAGGGAACGACCGAGAACACAGGCAACCCCACCTCAGAAACCACAGAAAACAAGCCCGACATGGACCTTGATTAAAAGCAGCCCAACGCCCCCCCCTTAGCAAAGCTAAACAGGGAGCTGGTTGTTTCAGATTGAGATGCAGCCTCGGTGTAAATCAGAGCAGGTTAAAGTGTTTCAGGAACTGCACTCCACAGTCAACAAGCAGGCAGGGTGATTAGCACACTGAACCCAGCTCCTGGTGGTATCTCTCTGATGACATAGCATGCCCTCTCTCTTTCTGGATGACATAAATCAAAAGCCAGCCGCAATAAGCCTGTTTGACAATGAGCGCTGTACACATGATGGTATTTATTTCTGTTGTGTGCTCTGTACGTGTTCTGGTCTGTGTCACAATATGGTTTTAATAAAGTTATTGAAAATCACTTGTATCTATCTTTTATTATTTTGGTGGAAGATACCTAAGTGATGCTTCTGTCGAACTATTGGGGCCAAAGGCATCATTTAAGATGGGTCTGTGGTCATATTTCTGGGGATTGGAGGGTTTTGAAGATATGAACAGGAGTGTATATTAAACTATTACATTATGTGAAGCATGCTGGGTTTGACTGATTTATTTCAGACTATGTCAAAAGTATCATATAAATAGGTGAAATTTACTTAGTTTAGCTGGTGTGGGGTGACTGCGACTCATGACTAGTACTTAAAAATACTGGTTACAGCCGTGCTAGATAGGTAATAAAATCATTTAATGAGTTATGATATTATAATGAGTAACTGGTGACTATATGCCCTTTTCACAGCAGCCATTTTGACATAAAATAGTAGGTTAAACACAGGTGTTACTGTATCAGAGCCTTTCAAATGAGCCAACATGCACAATAGCGGCCCCCTTGACTCTATTTGACCTGAATGGAAGAAAACCTTAATTAGTATTATTGATAAAAACCTGTGTTTACCCTACTACTTCATGTCAAAATGGCTGCTGTGAAAAAGATCCAGCCACTGAGTGATTGCGAGGCTGCATAAAAAGCTCCAGTTCGTACACCTGTACTCATACAAACAACTTAACCATAGCTTACAAACTTGTTTATTATAGTAAAAACAACAAACAAGAGTGTGTGTGACTACAAGGTCAAAAGCAGCTCATTACGGTCTCCAGTCACAGTTACCTGTCCAGGTGAGCTCACCTTCCTGCACCGATACGCCACCCAGTGTTCACAAATATAAAAAAAAATAAAATAACATGCTTTTTTAATAGTAACAGGTGTGTTTTGTTGGTGACTTTACGGGTAAATTATTAAGGAAGAAGCCATTTCTCCTCAAAATGTAACGTTAAATAACTCTTTTTATGTCGCTTAGCAACCGCTGTTAACGTCCTGGCCGGACTTAATGAATTTATGTTTAACATTAAAATCTTTCATGTTGGCTCTCTTTAATGATACGTGCACTTATGTAACTAGACAAACACCTGCAATGTTTTATTTAAAGAAATGTCACCCCACTCGACGGAGCTGTTTTTAAGGTAATTTAAGGACAACTCTGTGCTCTCCCTCCTTAGCATTAGTTAGCATTAGTTAGCCGACGAGGGGAGCAGCGGTTCAGTAAACGTCACCTCCGCGGTGCGCGCTGTTTGCATCCAAAAGCAGGAGTCACATGATCCATCCAGATCCTGTCTGCTAAGTGTAAAAGCTACAGATAGTGCAAGGTAATAAAGGTGTGTGTGCTTTTAACTGTTTTCTTTTGTGGTTTAATCAGGACTCTGAAATGACTGTGAAAAGTTGTGTGGACACACTGCGCGGTCGCGTTAAAGTTGTCTGGTTTTGTCAGCTCGTTTAAACAAACCTACTGCTTCTTCAACATGGATCTCTCTTTTTTTTTTTTTTTTTTTACTGTTGCCGAATTGTATAGTTACCTTGATGAGTCTAAAGTCTGATTTAGGTGTGTTTTGTCCTGATTTACTTCGAGGCTGAGCTCCTTCAGACAAACAACCCGTTCCTCTTTCTTTGTCTTTCTTTTGTTTATTTATCCAGGAAGATGAAGCTGATCATCCTCAATGACTACGACCAGGCGAGCGAGTGGGCTGCAAAGTACATTAAAAACAAGATTTTAATGTTTAAACCTGGCCCGGAGAGATACTTCACCCTGGGTCTCCCCACAGGTAAGTCAGAGGTCAGAATATAGCTGGTGCAGGAGATATTGTATCATCTCTGTGTGTAAAACTGTGATAAAGTTCACAAAGATTCAGTGTCAGTAGCGGAAATAGCCACCAGGCCATTTACTTACAATGCAATACAACCTATAAATGGAAAAAAAATGCTTAAGTTATATTTAAATGTGTGCAAGTATTATTGAAAAGCTTATATAAAAAGTGACTTATATTTGTGCTTAAAGTCATAATATTGATGCAGATTTGGGAGGTTACAATTGAACAATGCATTAAACTTTGTGACATAACATGCTTTTCAATATATGCTATAGTAAAAATAAAAAATAAATTTCCTCAGAAACGTAGAGAAGTCATAGTGTAAAGACTCCATTTTGGGAACTACTCCACTTTTGCTTTGTAAGCGTTTGCCTGTCTACAGGAAGCACGCCCCTCGGTTGCTACAAGAAACTGATCGAGTACTACAAGAATGGAGACGTCTCATTCCAGTATGTAAAAACGTTCAACATGGATGAATATGTAGGTAAGTCTACAACGTGAGATGGTTACACATTCAGGAGGAATTATTAAAAAATGTGATGTTGCGTAAGAAACTGTCATAAAATCCTGTATAGGACTTCCCAGAGATCACCCTGAGAGCTACCACTCCTTCATGTGGAATAACTTCTTCAAGCACATAGACATAAAAGCGGAGAACACCCACATCCTAGACGGCAACGCGGCTGACCTGCAGGCAGAGTGTCAAGCCTTTGAGGAAAAGATAACAGCTGCCGGCGGGATAGAGCTCTTTGTCGGAGGTCAGGAGGTCACAGTGCTGACAATGAATATACTATAACCAGCGACACGTTTCAGATTTGTGCTTTCTGGTATCAGGTGATTTAGCAGTAGAATTCAAACTACTCTTCTTTTCTGTCAGGTATTGGACCAGATGGCCACATCGCCTTCAATGAGCCTGGTTCAAGCCTGGTTTCCAGGACTAGAGTGAAGACACTGGCAAAAGACACTATCATGGCTAATGCCCGATTCTTTGATGGGGATCTTTCAAAGGTGCCCACCATGGCACTGACTGTGGGAGTGGGCACTGTCATGGACGCAAAAGAGGTTAGAACTGTCAACCATCTGTCCTGTTTTTTGTGTTTTGGTTCAGTTGCTTTATGTTTCTGCAACATTTCAAATGCTCCATATGTTAAGAATTAGCTCTACTTTCTGTCAGAGCTTTGCTTTGAGTTGCAGAACAGTGCATCGCTCAGTGATCTGGTTCTCTTCCTGACGCACCAAAGAACACAGATTGCAACTTGCTCAGTCACAGGTCTCATTTTCAATTTCTTTTCAGGTCATGATTCTCATCACTGGAGCACACAAGGCGTTTGCGTTATACAAGGCTATAGAGGAAGGGGTGAATCACATGTGGACAGTGTCTGCGTTCCAGCAGCACCCACAGACGGTTTTTGTATGTGACGAAGACGCCACCCTGGAACTGCGGGTCAAAACTGTGAAGTACTTCAAAGGTGAGACTGAATATCTAAAGTAACAGCTTTGTGAAAAGCTTAAATTACCATGTTTCACTTTCATGTTGCATTAAGCAAAACAGACATAGAAAACATGCTGATCGTTGCTCTTTCTTCAGGGATGATGCACGTGCACAACAAGCTGGTGGAGGCTCCTCCCCGAGGGCCAAAGAAGAACTGAGGAGATGTTTCTTCAAACTTTGTGGATTCATGAGGCATTAAAAACAAAACCCACAACACTCCAGTGATTCCTTTATCTTCTGATGGAGATCAATTGTCGGACATCAAGCAGTGCTTGGTGTTAACCTCAACTAATCTTTGTAGTAATAATCAGGTGCTTGTATTGTGCAGGCTGTTCAGGTTTTCAGGTGATTGTTCATACAGCTTTGCTTCTCATTTGTTCTTTTTTTTAATAAAAAGTACAATTCATTTGTATATCTCCGTATATGTTTGTGTGGTTGGGGATAGTGCTGATGTATTCAGTCTGGTTCTTCTGTCACATGACAACATGAAGCAACTCGTGTTGCCTTTAAGTGCTCCTTGTAAGTTTCTATTTCCGGATTTGTGCTGCAAATAATGGCTAAATGGCCTTTTTACCAAACTCTTTTTAATGTAATTGAGCAACACAGAGTCCTAGTTTCCAGGGGTGGAATAAACCAAGTACATTTGATTCAAATAGGTACTGTACAATTACCTTACAATATACAGTACTATATTTTAATGGTATAGTGACTTTCATGCTACTTTATCTTATTCAGATGAAAACAAACAATTATTTCCACTACAGAGGGAAATATTGTGGTTTTTACTCTGCATTTACCTGAAAGCTATAGTTAATGGTTACATTACAGTTTCTAACTCATAAAATAAGCATTATTAATTACCAAATGAGTATTTTCTACACTTTGACGAAAGACTAGACTAAAATGCTGCCCATCAACATTGGTAATGCAAAAAAAACCAACAACCTATACATTAAGACTGTGGAACTTTGCATAATGAATACTTTCGATACTCGAAGTACATTTTAACTAAATTAATTTACATACTTGGAAGTGCCAACAGGTCGTATAAAATAATTCCGACGGGCTTTGAACGCAGCAGCCGAGCCTGCCACCGACCGAGCGTCAGGAGGAAGAAGAGGAAGAAGAAGAGGAAGATGGCCGACTAGGAAGCGACGTTACCCTTTTTTTCTTTTTGGTGCTACTTCGTTGGCGAGATTCCTTTCTGTAACACAACACATCTTCACAGCTGAAGAAGGGAAGAGGACGTCTGTTTGTTTGTTTTGTTTTTTTGACGCTCTTCTTTCACGATGGCAGAACAAAACAGCAACGTCAGATATCAAGAGGTATGTAACAGATAGGTAGCGGCTAACGTTAGCTGGGAGGAAAACAACGAGCTGCACCGACCATTTGTTTATGGGCGGGTCTGAGTGGACGGTAAAGCTTATAGTAAACATATTTCTGAACCTGAAATAAACTATTAAATGGTTGATTTCGTCGCATGTAACTTGGAAGCTCATGTGACCCCATTTTCATTGAGCGGCTGACTAACTAGTTATAACACATTAGCTAGTGTGTCGGCTGCTTGATCAGGAATGTGTGCCTCTTTGTGTCCAGCCTTTGAACCAAAACCTTCATACTACCTGACCGTGCAGGATCAGTGACTAGTCCAACCTGTCAGTAACTTAAAACTCCAGATGCAGAAATATAAATAATGCTATTGTGAAGGTGCAGCCTGGAGATAATGTGTGAAAGCACATTTTTATGGTTTTAATTTGAGAATATGTAGTTGAATGGATCAGAGGTTTCTGTGTTGTCACTGTAAAACCAGTGCAGTTAATCCTTAAATATCAGGAGAAAGGATTGGTTGCATGCATGTCAATCATAACCACTTGTTGCACAGTGTGACATTACTCATTAACCTTTTTACTCTTTGAGGAGTCACCACAATTTTGGGGGTGTTGTTCCTCATAAGGCACCTCCAGTCTGTCTGTATTGTGCTTGTTCAGTAGTTGGAGAGTGCAAACCAACTGGAAATTCAAATGAGACGGTGTTTTTTTTTTTTTGCAGATTAAACAACACAATGAAATGTAACTTACTCACGATTATGTAAAACAAAATTCTGTAAATCCAATATTTTCATAACGATGTGGCAACAGTTGACAAATATTATCTCACTATACGTGATCAATGTCAAATTTGCCCACGGGTGCTTTACAGTATTGTTTCCTTTCTTAAATCCCACCTACTTAGATAGTTTTCATTCAATACAGTCAACACATAGTTAACACATAGTCCTAAAGGAGGTCATTTCACTTTGACCCAAGTTGTGTTGTCATTTATTTACGTTTCCTCAGCTGGTGAATCAGGAGGAGCCAGCCCAGTCATCCCAGGAGGGTCCTGCACAGGATGCACCACCGCCCTACAGCAGCATTGCTGCAGCAAATGCAGGTCAGGAATCTTCATGGCCGCATGACACACTGTCGGATAACTCAGAACAAACACAAGTATTTAAATCCTTGAATATCTGTGCCACTAGATACTAATACTTAAAAGTGAAAGTCTTCTTAAAAGCAGTAAGAGAGTAGAAGTGCTTGGAGTGAAACAAAAGCAAAAGTATTGATTAGGATTAGTTATTTCTGCTGTGTCACATTATTCTACGTTATAAAGCTCCTCTGATAGCTGTGCATTGCATTTGAGAGTCATATGATCACAACTTCAACCTGTTCTAATGTGTCCCACGCTGTTAGCCTTAGGATTAATAATGTAGAGGGTAATAGCTTGTGTGCAAGCCCTTTTAGAAAGGTCTGATGTTTCTAATCTCACCTCTTAAGAGGGCATAGGTCAACATGTTGCATAAGTGGGTGTAGCCTTGAGCTGTTCCTGGGTGAGTCCATTGATCGGGCTCAATGCTGGTTGTGTTTGGACAACACAAAGAAGCATTCTGGATAGCTGCCAAATGACCCAGATGAAAGTCTTGGCTTGTGTGGGACAGAACATAAACAGTAATGGACATGTACACTACTAATGTCTTCTTGCTGTAAGTCATACCGCCCTGGGCTGGTTTTAAAATTCTCTGCTGCTGCTGTTCTTATTAAAGGAAGTGAAAGTAGAGTTTGGCCTGTCAGCAATTAAACCTTTAAGATGTTATAGATGTTTTTTTTTCTGCCTACATAAATATTCTCCAAAAATACAAATGATTTGATCTATTCAGGAGGAATTAAATTGACACGGGAGACCGGGGTTTGAATCCCATCTGAAATCAATAGTCAACGTTGATTGTTTTTAATTGTAACACTTGATTTATTTCTCTTTACCGCCATTTGTAATGTCCCGAGAATATCACAGAAACAGATAAACATTCCTATATACAACCAATCACAGTCTCTTGTCCTGGAACAACTCAACCGTAGCTTGTGGTTTAAAATATTGATCAAGGGTCTCATTTATAAAATATTTCTTAGCTTTATACTTAATCTTAAGATCATTTCCAACAGTGGGCTCAAAACGTACATGTGCAGGTTATAAGATACCTATTTCTAACTTATGCACCCAAGCCAATATAGTTAGATTTATTTTTTTTAAAAATACATTTGAGAAAAACTTTCATCGTATAAAAAGACACAACCATATCTATAAAATCTGAATAAAAAAAGTTTACTCTTTGTGTGCAACCAGAACAGTGGGATCTGCGTTTCTGTTTACCACAGCCACTCTAACAGCCAACTGTTTTTGAGATCATGATAGGGTATTTTTCACCCATAGCTTTAATTGATTATTCCTAAAGCTAATCCAGTGTTCACTACAGGCCTGGCTGCGTATGCGTCAGAAACTGCAATACCTCTACACACTAGCAGCAAAATAATTTGCATCAGTCTAGACTTTGCTTAGAGATAAGATCATTTCCACACCAAAGTATTTATAAATCTATAAATAACTACTGATTTGTGGTTTTGGTCAGTTGATTATAACATTTTCATCTTTTTATATTGTTACCAGTAAGGTGAACTTTACAATTGCAATGACAGAGTCTCCACAGCATTTGCTTTAGTTTTAAAGTGTAGAAAGTTAATGGTTTTAACTGATCTAAATATTAACCCAACGTACGTATATTATAGATCAACATCTGAGACCCTGATGCTCACAGGTTTATATTTAGAAGAGTTTATTTTGAGAGAACACCTCTGCACCTGGATGAATAGTCGTTTGCTTGTTACCTCCACAGCTTTCTTTGAATACAAGGAAGAAGGAGGAAGATTTCCCAACCCTCCATCATACAGTGTTGCCACCACTTTGCCCTCTTATGATGAAGCTGAGAGAAGCAAAGAAGAGGCGGCCATCCCCCTGGTCACTGGAAGAGTCACGGTAGGTGGATCTCATTTTAAAACAGCATGTAGAAATATTATTAAGTGCCTTGTCATGTGTTAATATTTTTTTAAACAAAGCATTAAAAGAAAACAGAGGTGGACACAAGGTATTGTAATATGTCTACATATGTCTCGCTGTTGGTGTAGGAGGACGACTTCGTGGCCAGGGATGACTTTGAAGATGCTGACCAGCTGCGAATAGGAAACGACGGCATCTTCATGCTCACTTTCTTCAGTAAGAACTCGTTCAGCATTTCAACAGTTGACCTGTGTTTAGTTTTTATCTCCAAAAAAGCAAACTGATTTTCAGTTTAATTGCTCAGAGCTTGTAACCAGATGGTTTTTAGTTAGTTATTTATATATAAATATATAAACATGGACACTAGAGGTGAAAACGATGCACGATTTGTTGTGCAGTTGCTCTTGAATAAGGACTCTGGTATTTTCTAAAAGGAATACTGTACTGGGTCCAAATGTCAGTACGCTCAGTGCAAGTTTGTTTTCCAGCAGAAGACGGAGGAGGAGGAGGAGGCGAATGCGTGCCAGCCAGTTTGCTAACTCCAAAAATCCCTGATTAAAAATCTGTCTAAAAGTTTATGGGTCATGCTGTAAAAATAAGCATTTTTCTTTCATTAATTATTCACTTTCTGTCACCAGTGGCATTCCTCTTCAACTGGATCGGCTTCTTCTTGTCGTTCTGTTTGACCACGTCAGCAGCCGGCCGATACGGGGCCATCTCCGGCTTCGGCCTGTCCCTCATCAAATGGGTTCTTATTGTCAGGGTAAGGGCGTACCAGTGGTGTGAAGGAGCAGGATTACTCATTCTTATTAATGTTACTCTACAGGTATATTTTTGATATGGTTTGAATCAATACAGCTACTAACAGGTCCTATCTTATATTTCTTCCAGTTTTCTACCTACTTCCCTGGTTACTTCGATGGGCAGTACTGGTTGTGGTGGGTGTTCCTGGCTCTGGGTAAGTGACAGACTTTTTTTTTTTTATAAGTAAGAATCCTTTCCTGTTATTTCCCCGGTTACATTTCGGCTAATTGCCTTATGGTGTTGTTCTCTCCAGGCTTCATGCTGTTCATCAGAGGCTTTGTCAACTACTCCAGAGTGCGTAAACTGGCTGATCCCACCTATGCCACTCTCCCCCGAACAAGGGTACTCTTCATCTATTAAAGGTAAGGCCTATTCATCTGGTCACACACGTTTACATGCATACAGGACTCAAGTTACAGTGAGGGATGAGATTAAGGCGACAATTGGACTGAACTCTTTACTTAGTTAGCTAAATAAGACAAATATCTGGCATTACTTAGCACCCATCAAGTGTATTAAATGCCAGCTTTAGTAAATAAACCAGTCAGGGTCACGATCACTGGTTGACAGCTCTTTGATTCTGTATCATATTCCTGACTGATTGCTCATTACACTCGGCTTTAGCGTCTGAATTTTCGGCACACACAGTTAAACATCATTAAGATGATGTCACAGCTCACTGAAAAGAAACTTGAGGGAGCAGATTGATTATTTACACTGCTGCAAATTAAAAATGTGTGAAGTGACATTTCTGTAAAAAGCAACTGTGGCCAGTATTGATAATTCTTGACAGGAAACTTATTTTGGTTACCTCCCAACCAGTGGGACCCCCTAATGTAATTTACTCAAGGATCAAAACAAAAAATCCATGTTAACTGTGTCTACACACGACATCCCCCTGTTGATAAGCAGATAAATACAGGAAAGTTAAAGTGTCGCCTTTATCCTGTCAGATTCATGTGCATGTAAAATATAACCACAGACCACAGAGATCACACACACACACACACACACACACACACACACCATTCAATATTAAACCAATACTTCATGGTCCATTTCTATATTTGATTTGTACATCTTCCCTTACCTTCAATTCAGGATGTTGGATGTGGAAGAACTGGACATGACCAACACAAGCAGCAACTCTGTGAGGAGTTTCAAATTTTAAGTGAAGACACTTAAAAATAAATCGGCCCGACATGCTATAGATGAAGACAACTCTCGGTTTAAATATTCAGGAATTATATCACTTGTTTTATTTTGTTTTTGAAACTTTATTAATGGAAAATGGTTAACAGTAATAGTCCCTTAACGTACTCATTAGTGGCGATTGTTAAGTGCTATTTACATCTGTCTGTAATGTGTAAGTAATGCCTTATATGATTTTGATGGTAGCGTACGAGCATGCATCTGCCCTTAAGGTCAATAAATAGGGACAGTCTCGATGTTGGTGACACTTGAAGCCAACAGGTATTAATTATTACAACACTCTGTAGACTTGCCATAGCATGCAACACACTTTATAATCTGCACTAATCTCAATCATGGTTTTATTGTGACTATTATAGTCTGTTTTTAGATACCACATACACTTTAAAAAAAAAAGAAAAAAAAAAGCAAAAGCTTTCATTAGGCTGTAAATGCTGATATACCGATTACCACATATTTCACTCACCTGTTGGCTTTAAGTAGTGTTGCCCTTTTTTTTTAGCCAGGAGGGGGCAGTGTTGTCTGCTGCTTTTTAGGGTGTTTAGAAACTGTTAATTAAGGGCATTGTCATAATTAAGCATACATGCTTGTGATTCAGACGCAGTGTCAGTGGAGCACATCAAAATTACATCCATGTGTCAGAAGTTATGATTTTACCTGTTAAATGTTTTTGTTGTGCATTAAATCAGGTAAAACTATCCACCCTGGAAACAGAATTTAGGTTACAAATATGATCTTAAATGATCCGGTTTGAGTTCTTAAATGTGAACGAGCCGCAGCCCCCCCCGAAGCCGGATGGCCACAAATGTCGAGTGACAAACCTCGGAGCAGTTCGGTTGACAGTGAAGGGATGTCGAAAGTCCTTTGACAGTGACAGCAACCGAGATGATTTTCTTATGGGCCCATGAGCACATTTTCATGGTTCATGTCCTTTTTAAAAAAAAACTCATTTAGATTTTACAGCCTGACCTTTCCATGACTCCACAGTGAGTCAGTGGAGTCGGCGTCTCATTCACTGTCAGTGGAAAAGCTCTGTGATTATAGAAAAGAGTCTCGGCTGTCTGGATTTCAGCTGTTGATGATCTCACTCAGACATTTTTAGATTATCTAAGAGCATAAAAATAACTCAAATTCCATTTTCAGGTGGGTTTTTGCCTTAAGATTTAATTGACAGATGGGGAAGGGAAATCTGTTTTTGTTCTTTTTTTTGAAAATTGAGTCATAAGGTGTAAGATGTTAGCTATATTGTGGGTATAAAAACTATATCAACGAATGTTGTATGCAGGTGCACTTTGAGAGACATAACCAATAAAACCCAGTAGATATTTCCATCATTAAGTCCCAGACATATAAAACAAAGAATGAATGATGCATCGGTGCAGGAGTTTGTTTTTGTTTTATGTCATGGAGGAAACAGCATGCCGGGATAACGCAGTTTTTCAAGATCTAATCACTGTTTAAATGGAAGGAGTTAATATGTAATATTTTAGTCTGGTCCAGCAAACTGATCAGTTAACGTCATACTTCTGCCACGGCTTCGGTACAGACCCATTCTGCTTATTTCTATGTGATGTAGAGCTGCAACCTTGGGGTTTTGTTGATATGAAACTGTACAGAAAACATTTAGTGTTAAATAAATGTCACTTTTAATGCGTCATTTCGGACTCGTCTGGATTATTCACTACTGTGACTGCTGTGGTGATATGTAATATAATACCATTACAAATATTACATTATTTACAAGTCAGTATTATGAAGCTTTGGTACTGGGATAAAATGTGTGGCTCAGGATTGCACCAGTGCCACAGGCTTTACGAATGTTTTTAATGATGCATATGATTACACATTGGCGGCACCAAGTGGCAGCAAAGGGTTACTGCGGGAAATATGAAATAACAGTTGTTGACCTTTTCAGGTAGAGACACCTCAGCAGTGAATGGCTCAACAGCCCTTTCAAGCTATTTTTTCTCTTCTAGTCTGCCGAGGCATTACCTCCCGAGGGCAGAGATAAAGCAGGAAAGTCCAACTAAACGACTGAAGCCAGCAAAAGCCTCAATCTATGGGTTACAATGGTCATTTTTAAATTCTAGTAAATGCAGGTATTTATGGGATTGGTCTTTTTTTTTTCTTTTTACTGAAGGTCACAATGATCCTTTAAGAAATTCCTGCATTCATACCCCTCTTTCCAGATCCTCATGCATAACAAAAAAAAAAAAAGTGCCTTGTTCCTGCCTCTGGTCTGATTTTCCAACAGATTTCACTGACATCTGGAAGCAATTTAGTTAACTGAAAATACTAACACTGTATTAAAGTTTTCTCATCCCACAAAATCATCTAAAATGTCCATCAGAACTACAAATTATATAAAATCAGTAAAATAAAAAAAACATTTTCTTCTGCGCAATAAGAAGATAAAAGAAGAAATAAAAATGTCGTTTTAGTGGACAGAAAGAAGATATATGTACAGTCTTTTAGCTCTGAGGCATGTTTGTTAGGGTTAAGACTAACAATCATGAACCATTTGGTCTTGTTCTGGTCCAAAATGATAACTTGGTGTATTTTAACAACATACAAACATCCATCCTGGAGCAGCTCCACATGCAGTGAGGTATCACTGTGTGTGTTGAGATGAGTCTTCACTCCCCGGAGTCACGCAGCTCTCGGGGCAGAAAGAAAATGGCCTTCTGTCCGATGTGAGTCCTTGGACCCGGTTTAGGTTTTCCGTTCTTCTTCAGAGCTACATACCAGTTCCTCTCCTGATATTTCTGAGATACATAAGTGTTGTAGTGGTTCTCCTCCAGCTTCTCCAGGAAGTAACATTCATCCGTCACTGTTTGCTGAGAGTTAAACACAAAAACAAGCACCAGCAGCTGAAAGCACTACAGTTGTTTGGTTTGAGGTTCAAAGTTTTAAAATGTAGTCACCAGAGTTTAGATCAGGATTGTTTGATGATCAGTCATGAATCATTTACAACAAAATGAATGGAAGATTCATTTATCAAATACATCATGTACTGAATTACAATCATACTCACTGAACTGTACAATCGGCCCTCATCACTCATGGCCAAATATCGCCCAGCCTCCGTTCCTTGGATGACCACTACACCTCTGTCCACAGCCTTGAGCTTTAAAACAGCTGGAAGGAGGAAAAGGTTTCAAATAAATTACATGGCAACAACTGAAACCTATAAATTACTAAACATGGAAACTCTTAAGAAATAAAGAGACGTAAAATAAACTGAATGAGCCCAAGCTCTGTTGTCCCTGACCAGATGTTTGATTGGATAAATTACAGATGTCATAAATTTCATATACAAAACAGAATAAATTAGCATACAATATCACAGTACACATGGTAGTTTCCTAAGTGACATTATTGAGAGGGCCTGTATTTTTACGCCTGTCAAACATTAGATCACTGACTGTATCTCTGCTATCATATATTGCTGCACAGTCAGACCTTTCTAGCAAACCCTGGTTGGTGTTTCTTGGACAATCCGAAGCCAAAGCTGCCTTAAAATACATGAATAAATTCATCACAGGCTCTCATATTTGATGTTTCTGCTTATTGTACTTCTCTGTTTGTAGTAATGTGTTTTCTTAATGCATCAATATATTCTAATTCTGTTTATTCAGACATGTAGAGGAGCCAAGAATCCATTTCATATGTGGGAGACATTGGACAATATATAAAGACATCATTGTTCTACCTCCAGTGGGGGTCTCTCAATAATGGTGCTTTAATTAGGGCAGTTAATGTTAATTTGCTTGTTAATCTGAGTTAGAGAGGAGTTCGACATTTCCTATAAACTTAATAATGTTTCAGAGGTTTGTAGCCATGATTTATCATATTGTTAATAATCTTCCAGTTAGTGGATATAACTTTTTTGCACTCATAAATCCAACAGACACAATCTTTATCTTATAGTGTGGCTAACTTATTTTATCATCCATATAATTCAAAATGCATAACCTACAATGTAAGAGGTTGTTTCTTATTATGTCAAATCTCTGCTACTAGGATGCATTTTATTCCTCATGCAGTCAAGTTTGATAAAAACATTTAAAAAGAACTTCAAAGTCAAATAAAACTGTGTAAAACAGGGGGGTGGGGTGTCCTATATGTCCTTAAATGAACAGCACCCCACTTTAAAACATCAGTAATTGGCTTCCACACTTATTGAACGTCTCTTTTCCTGCTCTTTGAACCTGACACACCTGCAGTGTGGGAAGTGAACGCATCAGGCCTGACCTGCATGTAAAATGCGCATCGTGCTGCAGTCTTACTGTGAGCGTCCCTGTCATCCCTCTGGCCCTGCACGGTCCCATCGGGGAGGATCTGGAGGTGATATCCGCCATTCATGCAGTAGAGCCGAGTCAGCCGCCTGAAGTCCCGCAGCAGGCCGCTGTCCACAGTCTGCTCCTCGGACACAGACACCTCCTTATCCTCCATCCTGCTCGGGAGGAAAGACAGCTGTGCAACCGACAGGGGGGGTCTGCAGAGACAGCCTTGTTTATGATGAGAACAATCAGCGGGTTATGTCCCCCTGCAGTGGTCAGGTGTTTACATGCTCGTGAACGAGCGCAGAGATCACACAGGCAGCAGGATGCGCGCCCCCGCCTCCTGTCCTCAACCTGCAGACAGGGTAATGGTATAGAGACACAGACAGACCCCAACTCTTCAGTACTCCAACTCTAGTAATGTTCTATTATTATTATTTTATTGTTTTGTTTTCTCATTTTAAATCATTATTAATTCCTCATAAGGAAAAACAAGACTAGAGGCAATAAGGCAATATTTCTATTATATTAACAATTTTATTCCTCTATTCCTGGGTGGTAACTTTAGGTTATGATAGGAGAAAATGTATGATCATGGTTAATTAAAGGGTCTGCACTGAGTAGTGATGGGACCGGATGCAAAATAACATTGAAGCCAGATGTTTACAGCTAAAAATAGTTTTCAATGGGAACTATTTTCTACTAAAAGAAGAGTTAAAAAAAAAACTCCTAAGAAAAAGCTTTGAGTGTCATTCAAATGTGGGTAAATCCTGATTGGTGCACAGAGGTACCTGACCTGTCAACTTTTCCCAACTGAGAAAAGAGGAAGGCGTGAGTTTAATAAAATCTGATGTTCGTGGAGTGAAAGGTGGAGCATTAAAATGTCTCCTTTACAGCTGGACGTGGTTGTCCCTCCTCAGTATCCCCGGACTCCTGCCAGCAGGTTTACTTCATTTAAACCCTGATGAAGACCCACTGAGGTCAAAACTGGTCTGAGTTGCATCATGAACAAGCAACGTAAACAATAAAGGCTTTTTTCTTTTAAAAAACACTGCTGCTGTCAGTCAATCAGGGTCCAGAGTTTGAATGCTCTGCAGGCTGACCCTCATTCACACCATTACACTAAAGTTGACTATTTAAAAAGGTCACCTCAACGGTCTTTATCATCAGTCAATAAACCAGCTGTCAGGATGGGAAAGCGTATTTATTTGATGAACAAGTGCTCGGTGTGATCATGAAAACGTGTCTTACAATGGGCTTACCGTTTCCACTGTTCAGAATCATGGAGTTAATATGGCAAATATCAGCATACAGTTCCTTGTTTTTTAGAGAAGTACCACACAAAGACATACAGTTCGACCTTTAATCGATGGAGGAAAAGATCAACTCGAGTCACACTACAGAGGAGAAATAATACAGAGGGTAGGTATAGAAAAACTATCATTTGGAGACAAATACACCACATTTTCTTTACAATGGATTATATGTACATATTAAAAAATTTTAAGCAAAACAATTTTTTTTTTTTTTGAGAAACCATATACCAGTGAAACATGATCTGCCTTGATAATTCTCAAAAAGTTAATGTCTGCATATGTTTTATACAAAATAGATTTTCAAACAATATTTGGGTAGTGCAAACCTTTTTTAGATTCAAGCTGGTTGATTACTTTCACAAACAGTTTGTGTGTGAAAAAGACTGACTCCTATATCTTGTTCACAGTATTACACAATTTGACCAAAGCCATCATGTTAGAGTAAAAAAATGTGTTTTAAAAACAAAAGAAACAAAGAACTGTACATTTGTCTTTTAGGAGCTACATAGTTTACACTGACATATGTTGAATTTGTCTGTACTTGCTTTGGTCACCTTGTAGTCAAACATCAAATAGGCATTTGTTGTGCAGTCTTGATAGACCGACAACTGACTAAGTGTATCTGTTTCCTGAAAATCTGGCCTGCAGAGATAAAAGTTAAATGTGAATCTACTGTATGAAAATAGCTTATACTGGAAAAAAAAGAAGGAAGCAACCACATCTTGTTATGTGATGGTGATAGATTATCTTTCGGTTCTATTGCATATTCAGTTGTCCTTCTCAAAAATGTACTAACAACAAAGCACGGATACATTTTTGAGCAAGAAGAGGCAAGTGTGCAATTTCATATATATATATATCTATACCTGTTTAAATGAACAGCAGCAGAGATTTGGATACACTGAATGTGAAAGTAACCCATGAGTAACCCCTATGCAGTTAATAAAGATGGTTTTCAACTATTTTGAATAAACTTCAGAAAGAAAAAATAACAATTATGCCTTTTTTTTGAGTGTAGGTGTGAATGAAGACGGTGGCAGCACATTTCTGAAACTTTCTCCTAAATCTGTCAAGTGAATTGGAACCTGACCAAAAAAAAAAAAAAAAAACACGCCACAAACCACAGAAGCAGACACATTTTAGGAATCCAAACTGAATGTTTTTGGTTCTTAAAGTCAGGACATAAACGATTAAACGTGGATAACAACATACTGTGTGAATCAGACATCGAATTTCAACAACCTGAGCATGGGAGCGGTTTTACATTTATAATGAGTGCTTTTATATTTGTTGTTGGGATAGCTTAGCAAACAAACAGCAGAATTATTTGAACATTTTCAATATTTAAATGCAACCAGTGAGCACTTTGCTGTTGCTCACTTGACGTTTATCCAATTATTTTTAAATTGGCGGGGGCATGGCCTTTAATCTGTCGAGAGAAATTATTTCCTCTTTAAAAAAGGTTCACATTCATGTCACAACCTGGATTATTTTAGTGCTGATGAATAAAACGTTGCAGCACATTTCAAAATTCCCACTTACTTACACAACACACAAAGAAAAGGGATACTGACAGACATATATTATTCTGTGAGATTACACAACACATCTGAGTGCCTTGTGTTACAGATCACGTATCACTTGTTAATAATAACCTCAATCCTAGCGGACTGAAGCGCAGATGATTCAGGACTTTTTACGTAGTTGTGGGAAAATCTATGAGCTTCAATACTGGGACGTGTTTTTCTCTTCGGATGCAAACACTGACCGACTTTCAGCATCACTGAAAACAGACAAAACAGGAGTTTGGCACTGAAATAGTTCCCAGAGAATAAAAAGGATCCATTTTGCCTGCCTCCCCAGTCAGAGACGCTACACTGTGACTGTGACTCCACGAGGTGACTGACGCTAAGTGCTTTCATACATTGGGGGGGCTTGACTAGCTAACAGACAAGCATATAAACGTGCAAATATCCTAAAGATACGTTAAAGACAAGGTGTCTACAGGAGCAGAAGGCTTAAACAGGAGCAGCAGCTGAGGGAGGTTTACAGGGCAATGAATCAGCCGACGTCTGATCCAAAGTGCTGCATACACGAGCTGTCTATCATACAAACTGTTCACTTTAAAAGGAAGTGACATTTTGGGAAAATACGCATTTTCACTTTCTTTTCGAGAGTTAGACGAGAAAACCGATACTGAAAACTGGTGAAATTATAACTGTTTGTTAGTTTAAAAAAAAAAAAACAGACAGTAAAAAGAACTTAACAAATTGAAAGACGTTTTTTTTTTTGCAACTACTTTGAGCCGTGTTAGAAACACAGAAATTAGCTTTCCTGATTAATTAAAAATGACATTAACTCGCAAAACACAATAAAATACGCCCTCTCTTCTATGATTGGTAGACGCAGGTATCTATCACATTCCATTATTAGATTATTGGGGCAGGAGTGGGGGGCTAAACATCATAAACATCAGAGTGGGGGCAATTTTCTCTACCTCCCATCTAAAATCATATACTAAAGACTGGTACAGCATAACAGTCTCTCTTCACAGTCTTTTAAAGCCTTTACAGGGTACAAAGTGCTCGTATCGCACATGAGGAGTTGAGTGTGCGGTGAGATCATGTGAAAGGAAGCAGGCTCTGAATCTTCTCTCTTAATGATAAGGATCATTTCTACACACGGAGGATGGGCCGAGCTGCCACTTCTAAAGATAAACAGCCATTTTAAAAAAAACAAAAAAGGAAAACTTGTCACTGCATGTTACATAAACGGTACAATCAACATACGATGAAGGTAGATGACGAGTTAAAGAGAAGCACACCTTGAACACGTAGGAAGAAATGGCTAAGATGATATTTGAAGCAAAAAAGGCACATATTTTTTTCCCTTTTATAATAGACGTGTGTAAACCTGGAAGAGGTCAGCTTGTGGGAGAAATCATCCTTTGAATGTTGCAAGTCGATTAACAATCCAACAGAATTGCTTCTTATGTCCAAAGTATCAATTAAAGCAATGAAATATGCTTTTTACATGTCTGGAAAACAGTTTCTTTCCTCATGTGACTGATAAACATTTTGTTACAGCCTCCTATAAAAACTAAAAGAGGAACATACAGTCAAAAAGCCTATTTAAGAGCATGTTTGTAAGCTTTGTTACCTTCCCAGGTAACAATGACCTGGAAAATTGTATAAACTGTTACGATTTGAAAATGTAGAAAATACTATCAGAACCTGTACATAGATATTTGTTTTATCTATTTTAGATATCGTTCTGTATTTGAAGGTAAGAAACCTGAGACGACATGGATGTTAAGCCTACTTTTCTTTGCGATTATCGTTCATCTTGCAAACATTTCCTACTTGTTATACACTACCATCAACAAAACCTCTGGTTTCTACACAAATGACTCCAGTCTCTCTGTTCTCACCTTCCAGACCCATAACCCACTACACAAAGTTGCATACTCGCTCCCAAAAACATCATTCACGCCTCGCCGCGGATCCTCAGAAATTTCATCGTCGCTCTTCGGGGAGGGTTGGGGGGGTAGGGTGGGGGTGGTGAGGTGATGTGGTGGGATTTTTAAGGCATTGTGTCTGTTACGGGGCACAGTCATCTCTGGTGGAAGAGGAGAGGTTTGACACTCCCAGCCTTGAATTTTGGTAACTGGTTGCTGATGATCTCTGCCAGCATCTCTGGGAACTCCACACTCAGGGATTTATTCACAAAGGTGTAGAAGCAGAAGCTGAGCAGTCCGCCAACCATCTGCAGACAAACAGAGGAGAACGAATTGGTGGAGAGAACTTAGAACCTTTAATATAAGGATTTATGTGTATGATGTTAGTTATGGAAATTTGAGAAGTAGTAGTGATGGTGCAATACAAACTATTTTACATGTTTGAGATAATTTGTGTTATTAGAAGAAAGAAAGAAGAAGTAAAGACAAACATTCTGCATAAACGTATATTTCACAAAATAAGCACAAGGCAGAGTGGCTATGATCCTTTATCGAAAGCTGCAAATCAAGGTTCATTTGCATTATTGGAACATTTCCTTGAACCAGGTAAATGATTTAAACAAATGAATGAGAGCAATCACAGGCTGTAAATCAGTGTTGCAGACTGCTGGTGGTCAATAACATGTAATGCTGATGTCGGAGGATGCATTCAGTCTTGGTTTGCTGGATCTCTGGTACCTCATGCATGGAGTCGAGCAGCTTGGTGAGCTGATAGAAACGCTGCCAGTTCTGGCTGGAGTTCTCCTCGCGCTTCACGATGGCTTTCCCCAGCTCCTTAATGTACGACATCCGAATATCTTCGAACACCGCCTGGCTCTTCAGGCCGTCCTTGGGCACTGCGGGAGAGGGGAAACTGAAGGTCAACATCTGGGACAGAGATAAGGATGATGTACTGTACCTGTGTTGTTAGTGACAATACTTCACACGGAAACATTTTAAATTAGCGCGTCCGGGACAGGACACACACCTGCAAGAACAAAACCAGCACAGCCTGAGGAGGGCTATGTAGACTGTCAGCTGTGTTAACAGTTACCTACAATTATGGTTTTGTAATTACTGTTTAGACCTTTAATTCTCCTGCACTAGATCATGTCTACATACTTCTGCAGTTACTCAGTAAGTGCTCTAGTTGCTGAAATTGTGTGCGTGTATTATTCAGTATGGTACCAGGTGGGCATAGGAGGATTCAATTCTAATTTATGATAATTGCATTGCATGTCAGTTAATGAGTTGGGAAAATGCTGTGATGTGATGTTTGGGCCTGTGCATACATCAACATTATCTTTCAGCATTGTGGACGGTATTGGATCGGAGTGATGGATTTCGTAATGATTGCATTAACACAGCACGCCACTCTACAGCTCTACATGTGAGAGGTGTTGAGTGGTTCAGTTGCCTGAAGGTGAAAGGTCTGACCTGTGCTCAGCAGCAGCAGGACCTTCATGCACAAATACTCGTCGTGGGAAACCTGCAGCCGGACAAACTCGCTGGAAATCTTCAGCATCTGCTCGCACTGGTCTGCCATGTAGGGCAACTTCATCCGCTCCCTGGAGGAATCAAACAGAAAAAGGTTTACTGAGAGACGTAGACAGAACGGCAGCACATCCTTGTTTCACATTAAGTCATAGTTGATTTATAGGGCTGCTGGTGTAGTCTCAATCAGGGAGATGAAGCAGCTCCCTGTAATATCTCTGCAGATTAAATGTTCAAGGTCTTACTGCTAACAATTTGTGGATCCTATTTTAAATCATTCTTCCAGAAATGAGATTCAGTCTATTAGTTTGTTGGAGTAGAAGGTTGAGAAGATGAGTGAGTGTCATCTCAGTGATGAAGTAATATTGTGGGTGGAAGTGGGGGCAAACTTGTGAAAAACTCTTCATTCTTGAGTCAGGAAGACAGGAAGTGAACTGACACCAGCTTTTATCAAACTGAGAAAGATGGCTGCCATTATAAAACAAAAAAACAGGCTGTAGTTGAATTTAGTTTGGAGGCTGACTGACAAATAGAGAGCAAAACACCATCAGATATTAATTATGATCCGATTAACTTTGAGCGTGTAATTTTGAAAAAAAAAAGGGGAAAAAAAAGGCCTATTACAGCCCTAAGCATGGTAGCTGTGCCGACTGCTCACTACACTCAGAGCGCTGTTTACAAACGGAGTCATCGAGTCTATAAGAGGGATGAAACACTGATTACTGATGACAGCTGACAGACGCTGTTTGATTCTCTGGAGATACGACACACACAGCACAGAGCTGCACATCACATACATAAACAAACATTTGTACGTGTTGGCTGACTGACAGAAAAAAAAAAAATCATAAGCTGAAAAAATATCTAATTGGTCGATTTTTGTGAGGTGGAAAAAAAGACTTTTACTTTTTGTATAAAAATAAATAACGAAAGGTTGCTAGACTTATACATGGACTAAAAATGGAATGGTGCATACTCATTAATGACGAGGTCTGGAGCGAAGCAGAGCATGTTGCCGTTGCACTGTTGGTAAGACCGCCAGCCCAGACCGAAAGACATGAGGAAGAGCCAGGAGCACTGGAGCAGAGTCATCTGGTCATCCAAGTGCAGGTTCCTGAAACCTGAACACAAGGACATGGAAACACTTAAACTGACAACCGATACAGTCATGGTGTGTAACCAAATAAAAATACAGGCACTAATAATATGATCTTAAGCAGGTTTTTAGACACTGAATCTGGTCGACACGTCTACATTTTATCTTTTCTTTTCGACTTCTTCTGGAAATGAGAACCTTAATCCGATTTCACTCGGTTTACCAAATGTGCCTGCGTGTCACCTTAGCCCCAGATGGAGCAGATCCAGATGTAGTGCGTCAGTGTACGTTTGAGTGTGTTTCTTCTCTGTTGTGTTTGTTTAAACATTTTACAGCAGAGAATACACCTGTGTTGATCTGCACCAATACATTACAACATCTCCTGCTTTCAGCTAACCCAAATATTTTTTTTGCAGTGTATTTTGTGCTATTAAAATACAATGTGAGTGCACAGTATAAAATACAATAAAAAACAATGAGGATGGCACATATCAAACACACTTGTATTTGTCAAGCTAAAAATAAATATTGGAGTTTACACATCATTAGAGAAAAGGAAGACGAATGCCAATAAGACATATCTTTGTTTTAAAACGTAGCGTGTCCCATCCTTCTCTTTGCAAACTCACCTATATAAACTACCTTAAGCTTACCAAACACAGTCTACACCCACTGCAAAGGAATAAGTTACACTCCTACTGGCAGAGTTACACTACTGACCTGGCAGAGACTTGGCCCACTTGACAGCAGAGATGACCTGCCGGCCACCCAGCCTGTTGAGGGTGGTCATGAGGCGGGTGGAGGTGTCGGGCAGAGTGCTGTCGTAGCCGGCGTAGATGGTGTCCGGCTCGATGGCCTTCAGCAGGGACAGCATTGTGGGAACGAGTTGAGGCATGCACTTGGGTACAAGGGAACGAGCCTCAATTGGTGGAGGAGTCGTCATCTCGGGCGGGTTGCTCGGCTGGGCGCCCTTTAAGCGGTTCAACTTTTTGGTTTTGCGTGCTGCAGAAGAGAAAACAAGGATGAAAGTGAAAGGAAGAGTTAAGTGAAAAGGTGAAAAGGAGACAGGAGCAATTAAACCAACTCAGGGCTATACAGTTTGGCGTTATCCGTGTGATTTATATGTACCTTCCAGGTTCATGCCTGCCATCAGACACTTGCGGAAGCGGCAGGCTGGGCAGTTCTTCCTCCTGATCTTGTCTATTATGCAGTCGTTCCTCCCAGCACACAGGTAATTATGCTGCCCTGAGGCAACAGAAGAAGAAGATTAATCTGTTATTTACTTTCATTGCTGTGGCAAACACTCCAGGGAGGAAAAACTAATTAGCTGTATTACAGTCCGTTGCTTTGTAATAATCAGGCCTCAAACTTAAAATCATAATAACTCTAGCATTTGAGCAAACGTATGTAACACAGATAAGTGATGAATGAGCTTATCACAGGCGATGAATAAATCAGTGAGGAAATAATGATGTCTTATGATTTTGCACCTTCCACTGCTCTCTTGAAGAACACCTTGCAGCTGCCACAGGTGAGAACGCCATAGTGGCAGCCTGAAGCCTCGTCGGAGCACACCAGGCAGATTTTATGAGTCCCACTCTTTGTCTGTGCTGAGGATGTGGCGATGACACCTTCCTGTCTGGAGGTAGAACTGGAGGGAGATGGTAGAGACAAAGCAGAGAAATGTCAGGGATATTCAGCCGCTCTTAAAAAGTTTTTGACCTCTAGTAGCGCCACAGAGCCGTTTCTCTACAAGTGGGTCCCAATTTTATTTGTTTTGTGCATGTGCGTGTGCATGTGGGGGAGGCAACGGTGCTATACTATTCCACTGATTTACAGGTGGTGGTAAGATATACAGCAACACACCAACTGTTTGCTAGTAAACATGGATGTAAACAATGTAGGTTTTACATTTTTAGGAAGAATTTGCTTTGTCAGTGTTTAATGAGGAAGGAAATGCATTCATGTTTGTTAAAAGCACACTGTACATTTTACCAACAAAGACAAAACATCAACTATAATCCTGACCTCTACGGTCTGTGGAAAGTGTTGCATTAAAATCATCTGAAGTGTCACAAAATAGCTGCACACACATTTTAGTCAAACCCACATTCTGTATGTCTACAGTGTGCTATTTAGATACTGCCTACCCCTACTCTGCACTAACACTTTAAATAAATAAACTACACAGATAGACTACACATACGCATACGCCCATCAGAGTCAATGTGTTCCTTGTGCTTATTTTTCCTCAACTTTGCCTTCGTTTCCAACATCATGAGTGAAGAAAAGTGAGTCCATTGTGCCCGTTTGGGCATTTAAAGCCTAAATTATCTCAAGAACTGTGGTTGCATCCTAAATCCAGTGGTTGTCATAAAACAGCCCTTCTTCCTTTGATTGAACCACAAACGTTTCCAGACCCAGACAGCGATGCTTAGAGTTGCACTGTTTCAAAACTACCACTAGAGAGCATCAGGCTTTGCAGCATCCATGCACCAGAGGTCCACACCCCCTTTCTAACCCAGTGGCTACAGCAACCACGCCCACACTGAGAGGATATACAGCTAGAGACATGCAACAACTGTGTCTGTCTGTCCATGTGTCCATAAGTCTGCCACCGCAATGAGACGGTTTTATTTGAAAAGAGCTGTTCTGAACTGTCACTGCACACGGACACTCACATTGGTGCACGGGGAACACTTTGAGCAGGGGAGCCAAGTTCTCTCTTAGTTATACAACACTCAAGGTATTAGCATGAAAGCAGGTCAGGCCCCAACAGTCAGTGGGTGTAGCAGGATGGGAAAACCTGAGAGAAACATCAAAGCATCAAAGTCCAGAAGCATTCAGCAGTCGGATAAAAAAATAAAAAATACTCATCAGGGAGAGACCTCAGAGGAGACCGTCTAGCCCTGACAAGGCTGAGAGCTTTCTGAGCACCACTGAGCACACACTGCGGTCTATAAGTCCCTACATTTACCTCTTATGATGATAGTTTGTCAGGCCTTACTTCCTGAGTGTCTTTGACTGCATTGTTTAGTGCAGCTGAATTTCAAACCCTGGAGAGTTTAACCCCAAATTTTTTGGTCAGTTTGGGAAAAAAACACCACAAAGTGGGGCGCTCACTGAAGCAGCTCCCTCCAGGTCCAGCTGTGAGAGGAACCCGGGACAGATTTAATTGAGAACACACAGTGACTAAATCCATGAAAATCAAGCTAATCAGCATTTTCAAATACATCTGACTGCCTTCTTCTTTTCTTTTCTTCTAAATTTACCAAAAGTTTTGAAGGTGGTGGATACAGCCAAGATGTATCACACACAAGCACTAAACAAATCACACTCCATATTGCGTGCACAATTTATCATTGTTTGGAGGTAGACAGCCTGAGCAGAGGAAACATTATAATAAATATTTATAGCTACAGTGAAAATCAAAGAACTAATTTTTAGACTTGGAAATTGGATTCATCAGTCTAACTCAAAAAAGCCCAACCCACACACTCCTTGTACAGGCATAAACCACATTAATCATTCATTTTGCAGGATACATAAAAACATAAAATTAATCACATATCTAATACGCTATAAGTTGACCTATGATCATCCTTTTTTTGTAGTTGCCCTGTCAGAACCAGAATATATCAGTGTTTCCCAGCATGGCGTCATCTTTGGTCCTGCAACAGTTTTGTTAGGCATGCCACAGTATCATAAATATAAAGTTGCACCATGTTTTTACGATTACTGAAAAAAGTACGAAAAAGGTTTCACTGGTAGTGCCATAGAGTAACATTAAACCCCACTCAGCATCCAGGGATTAGTATTCCAGGTGGATGCAAGTGATAAAATTATAGCAGTAACGTGATTTGTTCTTCACAGCACTTAAAGAAAATTACAGAAGGTGGTTTATAACAGACAAAACAGTGACAAGCCTACTGCACTTAAAGCTGCACTTATCAACACTTTATTTTTTAACAATAAATCAAATGTATAATCTGAAAGAGGTTGCTAAAAGTGATAATCCGATAGTGTATTATCACCCAACTGTGCAGCCTACAGTTCTTTAATTTGGTTCAGTTTTACTGAACTCATCAATGTCCTCTACAGTAGCAGCTGGCTGTTGTTTTCAGCCAATAAGGTCTAAAAGACCCACTGCACGCTACTGCCCAATGCCAAATGGAAGTCAGAAGAAGTTAGCAACTATCTGGTAAACACAGTGAATCATTTAGCAGAGAAAAAAAAACAGCCAAACATTTCCCTCAGGAGTTGATGTAGAGGATGGATGCTCTCTAAATGTCGAGTCAGTTGAGTCAAATCTCATTTTTCAAATTGTTGCACTTTATTTCTATTTCTTTCCTGTGTCATTGTAGGTCCACACAGAGCAACGCAGAATAAACAGCATGGCAGGATATAAACTTTTACAAATCAAGTTATAGCTAAAAAAAAAATGACTGTAAAAAATAACTGTAATTCAGCTCTGGTGTCGAATGAAGCAAAGTTGACTGAAATAGTTTTTGAATGAGAGGGTTCATCAAGAAGGATTATAATTAAAAAGGAAACATCACTCTATCCATTAGTTATAACCGCTCATCGTTTGACGGGTCACAGGGTGACGGGGGGCTGACACATAGAAACAGACAACCATTCAGGCTGATATGCAAACTTCACACAGGCCCCACCGTGCCATGCTAGCCAAAAACATGACTCTAGTTTGCTATAACAACTTTATAAGGTGATAATATGTCAATTTTGTGTTTACAGCTTGATCCACTGCCCTCAAGTTGTCAAGAAATGCAATTAATGCTGAGTCAGCATCAGTAATGAGAACACGGCTTCAACAAATGCTCCACTGCAGCAGGATGGGCGATAGTTTAGAAAGTGTTTGTCTATGTATTGTCTTGGTAGATAATTATGTTCTCATATTGAGCCACTGGTTCACAGTTTGAATTTATTTTCCATTAATTACTTTTGATGAACAATAATATGTCATATTATCATCTGAATTACATTTCTCAGTTCTTTATTCTGCCTTCGAACAGCACAACTGAATACCTGCTGTTTGGATCACAGTAAACACCCACAGCAGCAGCCTGGCTCAACGGTCATATAGTAAATACAATTCATATAAAAGCTGTGCCGCTGCGCTGATGTAACCAGTAAGGCCATCTGTCTCACACAGATTTATGTAGGGTTTCCTTAACACACACAGCGAAGAGAGCACACATGCACGCGCGCACCCCCCCCCTTCATGCCACAAAGGGGGGTGCGGTGAACAAGAGGGTGGGCGGAGGAGGCTAATGAGCCCACAGTGATGATGATGATGATCATGATGATGTCAGAGGGTGGGGAGGGGGTAACAAGTTTGTCCTTCACTGGCCCACTGGGATGTGTCAGCAGGGCAGCTTTACTAGGAGGCTTTAGGCTACAGGGTCAAATCCAATTACTGCAGCCGCTACGTTGTTTCCAGCACCTGAAGTAAGCGTGAAGTGAAGTCACTGCTTTTCTCTGCTTTCTCAAAACTCAATTTGGTTGATGGCACTCAACAAAGTCATAAGACAAGTCACGAATCTGTTGTGGGGTTTTTTTTGTGGATTGTAAGACACGAACCAATCAAAGCTGCACGACAATGTGGAGAGACTGAATTTCCTCTTTCTGAAACCATCTGTTGAAGTGAGAACTTGCCATCAACAGGAAGTTCTTGCATTCCCTCAGAGTTTACTATGGGTCAGAGCACAGCCGCAGCACAACGGCAGAGACACCCCGAGATGGGCCTCGATTTTAACAAGAGCAGTACTGAGAAAGTTAACCTCTTACGTCTGTAGGAGTGTGATCCATCAGCCTGGATTCTAATGAAGCAAGCCACTTCACGCACTTACGATAATGCCGGTGGCCCAGTGCCCTGCTTAACAATTCATAATCCCCTTTTAGCCGTGAGTGTCACGAGTAGTGTGGCAGGCCCCTCCTCCATATACCCCAGCCTCTTTGTCAATCCAGACGAGCAGCCATTAGAGCTACATTGTTTACATCTTTTTAGGTGCAATAGATAGATAATTTATTGCTTGTGCATTTATTCCACATATTAGTCTGCATCATCCTTACTTGACCTACTTCGTGCCCAGCCACAGAAAGAATCATCTCAGAGAGAAAAACGATACGATGTCTCTGGCTCACATGTGGGGAGATCAAGCTCCTAAATAAAACTGAAAATAACAGAGTAAGGATCTTCACATAAAAATCTGGCTGGGTGGCTACATGCTTTAAAAATGGTTCTGTGTAAAGTTTATAACTGCTGCTGATATTGTTCAACATTGCACAAACATCGCCCCATCTTCATCAAAACTCGTGAAGAGGAGAGCAGAAGAGGAGCAGAAGTTAGGGCTCCTTAACCTGAGGTAACAGCCACTAAAATAGAAAAGGGAACTGCTCTGCACGCTCTGAATCATTCTTGCACGCAAAGCAACAACACAGTTTCTATGAGGCAGTGGAGAGACTGGGTTTGTTTAGTTAAAGACTGGGCTTGACTTCTCTAAAGTATCTGCATCCTCTGCTCTCCAATAAAAACACACAGTATGTCTTTATAAGTACTTGACTTTAGAGAACATTAATATAATAGAGCTATAGTAATTTTTTACACTAACATCAAGTGTTTTCACGATC